AAAAAAATTTTACCTGTTCACTCAACCGGAAAATGTAGGTCAGATGCAGCATCCGAAGCAAGCCTGATAGTATGCATCCTTAGATGTATCATCCATGCAAGTTTGGTCATTATAGGGCTTATAGTTACTTGGAAATGAAACCTGCACCAAAAACTTTAACCTGTTCACTCATCCGGAAAATGTAGGTCAGATTCAGCATCCGAAGCAAGCCCAGTAGTATGCATCCTTAGATGTATCAACCATGCAAGTTTGGTCAACATAGGGCTTATAGTTACTTGGAAATGAAACCTGCACCAAAAACTGCACCAAAAATGTTAACCTGCTCCAAAAACATTAACCTGGCCATTCCTTTGCTGAAATTGCAGCATCTGAAACTTTGACTGGTACAATGAAACACATTAGAAGCATTTTCCATGCATGTCTAATCAATATAGGACATAGAAGTACTTAAAAAGAAAACTGCTCCAAAAAACTTAACCTGGGACGCCAACGCCGACACCGACACCGACGCCGACGCCGAGGGTATTACATAAGCTCCCCCAACTTCGTTGAGGTGAGCTAAAAATCATCTCAAGAAACACAGTGCCAAGAATGTTGAAACTTATGGAAGAAAATTTCAAGAAGTGAAGATTAAAGTTTGTTCACATATACTCCCTGGGACCACTTATGGATTTAATGGATTTAAACTTTCAATACTAAGCTGATTTCTGCGATTTTCTTAGCCACAGTGCTCAGGTAAGCGATGTGGCCCATGGGCCTCTTGTAGTTCCACTGCGTTAGTACAATATAAATATTCATTGAATCGCATAATTATTAAAAGTTGTCTTAGCATTTGATAAAGTTGTCCCACAGTTGCTGAAATCGCACATGTTTTTCCCATGCTAACCCCCCCCTCCATATATGGAGGATATGTTGCTGTTTGAAAAAACTCTGCGTACGTAGTGCTCAGTATGGGTTCCCTGTTATGGGTATTTACATGTTCTTATAGAAATCTCAGTTTTATAAAGGATTGCAAAAAATGTGCTTTTGAGTACTTTTCTACATAATGCACAGTATTTAAAAAACTCTGAAGCAGTGCATGTATGTCGTATATGATCAATCAGAATGGATTTAATGTGTGCTTACTGATAATTAAAAAATCAGAGACTGAGTGCTAAATTAACGAAAATACCTGATAATATTTTAAACATCACTGATGCAACAGTGAAATACATGTACATATATATCCACTGAAACGTTTCCTGGAGAGAGAGAGAGAGAGAGAGAGAGAGAGAGAGAGAGAGAGAGAGAGAGAGAGTTATTATTCATGTGTGTATTTTTTAAAGCAAAACTATGCACCCGTTCTAATTTAGTATTTTGACATAATTATTGACAATTGTGAATAGACATACTTCTCTTCTTGACAGAAATGTTCTTTTATATATGGATACTTAAAGTACAAGTACATATTATACTGATATAATACGGCTGTTTGGGGTATACATGTAAAAAAAAAATCTATGTATACTAAGTTCTTAAGTCTCAAGTTCATGGTTTGATACTTAAACGGAATATTTCTCTTTTCCACAGAAAAATCATTTCACATCAACAGTACTAGTGATTTGAAACAATTAAAATACTACACAATCCAAGAATGACCAGGACGAATACTTAAAATCCAGCAATTTAAATTGATTATGTATACATCATTTTATATCGCATGTATACCGTGCCATATACACAAATGGTAAATGATATAAAATTAAATTTTCACGGCTTTAATTTCTTATGGACTCTTTAAAAATGCATATAATATAAATAATGCTCTTTTTAAACTGTTTAATAAGATTTGTGTTTTCTGTCCCCTTTTGTAAATCCGTTAAACGTCGGCGATGTGTATTGCAGCTGACCGACTTTAGCGTGGGAGAGACGCTATCTCGGCTACTTTCTGTGATGTGGCGAGAATGTGACGTAGAATTTAAAGTTCTCGACAAGCAAAGCGTCAGCTCGTCACAAACAATGTAATCCTTTAGGGGTTTTGCGATTGGCTCTATGTCCTGGTCCGAATGAGTCAGTGTTTGAATTGACCAGACATCGTCAGAAATGTCCATCCTCTATATCAATCTAATTTCTTTTCAGTCAATCGAAGACCTATGAAGGGTTTCATAAATTATTCTAATTAAATTGCCATTGTCAGAGCGTTGTTCTGTTGTATAGTGATTGCATCTTAACTACAACCATGACTCTACTGTTACAAGTACGATCGACTTGCGATAGGGCACGGTAAACAAATGGAGGAAATGGATAAATACAGTAAAATTGGCATTACTGGTCAATATCGTTGGTTGTTCGGATAAAATTGGATTGAAGATCGTAAAAGTAAAGCTAAGATTAAGAAATTCAATGTTCATAGTCTTGTTGTATTTGTGTTTATTTTGTAATTATTTTACCGAATTTAAGATTGTTTGTATTACAGTAATCGGTCCCAAAATGTGATTCATATGTCATTCGACTCACCCCCTCTGTAGAAATTCATCCGCAACAACCATAACGTTTTTCTTGCATAAAAATTAAACATAATATCGTTTTGTAGTAGTATTAATTGAAGATACAATTGATTTAATTTTATATTCAAGCTATTATTCATTGTGAACGTTTTAAAAGAAATTGGTTTACAGCTTTTGCTATTTTCTATTGCGGATGCATCTACTGACACATACGGAGGCGTAAACCTGACTGATCGCTAGATGACGATCGAACAAGCTCGACGCTATAAAAAAGGAAAGTTAACAATGCAAAATAGTGAAGCCCAAATCATCTCTTTTATCACATAATGTAATTGTAGTGGGCTCTTATTGTCTATAGTCAGTGATTGGGAAGGCCAAAAATGTGAATGCCATGGGACTAATGGCGCAACTGTCAACAAGGGCCATCAATATAATCTGAGGAGCCAATTTAAGAAATAACAAAATGACAAATAAATATGAAATATGAAAGAAAACACATTTTTACCAAATCTAATTCTTACCAATTGCAATGTAGCAAATACATAAAAGGAACCTGCATGAAATATAATTTACCCATAAAATGATATTTTATGTTAAACTTTGGATTGTGCACCACCCTACGCTACAAATGAATGTAGTAGATGTACGAAATCTAAGTGCTGAGTTTAACCGGAGGCAGTTTTTGACGGATTCCACTAATGAGATTTGTTTTAAAATTGACTGCATTTAAAACAAAAGTAAAACAGGTAAGAAAGCTGTGCGCAAAATGTTTCCAAATAAGATCGCTAAAAAATTGATTGCAAGCCTTGTCACCAACTTTGATTTATTTAATGCACTATTTTCACTTCAATGCGACTATGGCACATGAAGCAAACCCTTCCCAATCACTGTATAGTCCGTAAAACCACCAAACATGAAACTTTATAGAAAACTGTTGTGTCTTTTCTTTCAAGTTCTTGGATAATATATTGAGTTGACAGATGAATGGAAGTAACTGATACTAATATAAACAATAATTTAATTTAGATTTTAAAGATTAAAACTTAAGTTTAAGTACCGGTATATTATGTTGAATTTATCAAAGTTGTGAACATGAAAATGAAGGCAATATTGACGTCGGGTGGAGGGCAATATTTCATCCCATGTAGGCTAGAATCGATGTTCAATGATGCCTGAAAACACTTCAGCTTTTTGCAGCAATAAATACTGTATTATTGCAGTTTGAAATTTGAGCAATCAGCATACATACACTTAATAGACTATGAATATTTAGAGTATGTAAAAATATTTTTGCACTTTATATTTTATTCAAAGCAAACACAAAAATATAGAGAAAAAGAGTGAAAATTCACGAATACTGTAAGTAATGTTTTGATTACTGAAAAGATGAATTAATCCTTTTATAGTAATACTTCCCCAAAAAAGGAACTGCAGGGTTCGAAATTAACTCATGTCCGTAAGTCCGAGACTAGTAAAAATTGTATCAGACTAGCAGATTTTGTCAGGTACTAGTCCGTGCGGACTAGTAGTTCGTGCAAATCCGGATATAAGTCTTGAATTGGTTCGTATTTTATTTCCGAGTCTCTTAGATGTTTGAAAATAAATGCGAAACGCAACCACGATAAAGCGTTTCTACACTGTGATCAATAGACAAAGACTTGACCATGAGGAGATTTCTGAAAGTTGAAAACCCTCTTTCTTTCACGGAATCACCACATGCTTCCAACTGATGTGTGGACACATATTTCGTTTAATTAATTGATAAACTTTTAAGATTTGTGTTATTCTTTTTACATACTATAGGGCGGACTAGTGGAATAGTTTGCGGACTAGTGGAAGCTAGAAGTCACTAGTCCGTGCGGATTAGTGCTAAAAAAAGTTAATTTTGAACCCTGTAACTGACGTGCCCAACCTGTTAAAGTAAGTGCATCATTCACCTGAGATAAAATGCTATGTGCCTTGGTTAAAGAATTGTTTACTTATTATAATGGGAAATTATTCTTTGTAGATCTGTTTCAATGGCGAAGGACCAGTTATGCTTATATAAATACAACATGATTAATTTTACTTATTTTCGTGTATACACACAATTAAGTCAGTAGTTCACTAGCTCTACAAGCTGCAGATCTGTATAGCATTATGGTTTTATATATTAATCTTTGAAAAAAAGGTGCAATTATGGCGCAAGATTTCTTGCGCACTTTAGGAGAGAATTTCTCAACTTTCCAGCATTGGTCCATCAACCTAACAGAAACATTCTGTATAACCAATATGTATATATTTTATCTTAGTACCTAACAACTCTTTAAAGGATATTAACTCGCTTAATTAAAATTAAATGTTAAATTGTATGGCCAAAGACTAATATATAAAACCAAAACGCTACAGATCTGCAGTTATAGCTGTACTTGCAGTATGCACCGATTAAGTCATTTGCACCAAAAGTATATGATGGCAAACATTACAATGATTGAACATGTTGAAGGTAAGGCCTAAAAAAATACTTACCAAAACATGGAAAATTTAACAAGATAACACACAGATACACGACCTTCATGATGCTTCTGTTTTTATTTTATCTGAACACTTCCTACTTCTGTGTTTGAAAATTTAACATGGCGGCTTACTACGAAGGTATGTTTTGACCTTAACCTCCGCGCCAGGTAAACAACAATGCAAATATTCTTCACCTATATATGCAGAGTAAAACGATTTACAAATATGCACGCGTATTCATTTATCAATTATAAAGAACTTGAAATTTCAAAAATAAATTATACAAAACCAAATATCAAAATTCGTATTACTATTTAGAACTATATAGTCTCGCGCATGGATTTCTATTGCATAGCGGCCAAAACTATGCGGTTACCTGATCCAGGTGTGATTTTGTGAACATGTCAAAAGCATTGTAAACTAGCATGATTAAGAGAATCTGACTAATATATAAGGTGTTTAATACCCATGATGAGTTTAAAATTAATGTTTTCATGAGTCATAAATATCTTTATCTGTTTATTTTAGGCGATTTGATTTATTAAATCATAACCATTTGTAGAAGTAACCCATAAAAATTCTTAAGGGGCCCGACCCTCTGCTATAAATTTCACTTTAAAATTTTTTTTAAAAATTTGTTATATTAAATTGATTTCCATAAACAACAATAACATTAGAGCCACATGGAAAATAGTTTGAAGTAAGAATTCGAAGCGCTGTTTTTTATTTATGTTATATCATCCCAACATGCGGGGTGTATGCCATGTTGTGCGCGGGGTGTATGCTTCCGAAGCGAGAGAAAGGGGGTCAATGTACGTTCTTTGTCCATTTTCTCAATTTACGGAAATTTTTCGCCATCTTTTTAAAGGATAAATAAAATATTTTCATATATAAAGTTTCAGAAACTTTTGCGAATAAACGCCGCGTAATTTTTTGCTGTTGAAATTAGCATATGTCTCAATTTTCATTTGATTTTATGATCTAGTTTATTCATCACAATTATTTAAGCTATTTTATAATTTCTCTCCTTTGAATGTATCTTAATTTTACTGTTTCTCAACGCTATTCAAACAATTCAAAGTTTATGCGGGTTTCCCCTAAAATATTTTTAGAAAAATTACAGGCTTAGTTTGGACTTTCAGTAAGGCGTGGCATTCTCGACTTTACCTAATTAGCTTCAGAAATTTACACAGTTTCCCTACACCAGTTAACATTCGGCTGCATTTTTATCATATGTATATTTCAACAGTGAAGGGAAGCTGTGTAAATTTCAGAAGCTAATTAGGCAACGTCGAGAATGCCACGCCTTACTGAAAGTCCAAACTAAGCGTGTAATTCTTCTAAAATAGTTCTTAAAAAGATACAACTTATTCAATTAATAAGGCTTTTGAAGTTGGATTTAAATGTTTTATTGTTAAATATAATAAAACTATTGAAAAGAAATTGGGTAAAGATATTAAAAGTAATGTTTCCATCTTAATAATTTATATTTAAGAGAACTGACTACTCAGAGGTGTTAAATAGGAAACTCCCCTCATTGAAACTTTATAATCATGAATTTTGGAGAAAAGAACACTCATTTTTAGTGTCCTTTTATTGAATTTGAAAAAAAGAATTAAGATCTGAGAAAGTTGTCCGGTGTCTTCTAGCTATTCCCACTTTTTAAAAATCTCAATTCCACCTATTCCCACTTGCAAATAACAATAGATGTTTTGATGAGTTAATTGGTTTTACAGTAATCAGACTAATTACATCCCATCTTAGATTTACCTGTATTTTATCATTATTTTGTACATTTCAAGACAGAAAATAAATATAATTTTCAATTATCAAAAAAAAATATTTAAAATGTACTCAAATTCACTGAAATATATACTTTTGCATGTATATAATTATTATTAAAAATTTTTAATTTAAAAAAAAATTGCTCTATATTATGAAATGTTTTACCATACACCAGTCTTTTGCAATGTGATTTTTTAATGAATAAAAATAAATAATTTATCTGCTATTTTTATTTGAAAAAGTTGTCCTTCGGATGAGACCGTATAAACCGTGTCGCTGTGGGTGCTGACATGAAAAGGACCTGAGGATTGACTCCTTACTTCGTTACTCTAGAGCAGATGCTCTTACCATTGCGCCACACGAAGATATGCTATTCACCGGCAAGTGATGGCTTTTCCATATGAGTGATGAATTTTCGAGAGGGAACAGCATACAAACAAAGAAAAAAAAACCTTGATGGTACATGAAAGAAGAATAAGGTCAAATGGTTTTCAATTCTGCAGAATAGGTATTCAAAAAATATATCTCAGAAGTAGTATTTAAGGCAGCAAAATAGTACAGCTGTAATATAGGGCCAAGTGTTTCCGGACTTGAACCTGATGACCCTAGTTAGCGTACCTCTGATGGCTGCAGAGGACAGCACAGAAACGGTCGATGGAGGAGGATTCACCTGAAGACGGACCACACATCTTTCCACCTGGATATATACAATATATAATATTATCTGGGACACAAGTGACAGCTATATAAGTCTGGATTACAACTAAGAAAAGTTCGTTACCTGGAGAGACAGGATCCAGCTAGGAAAGACTGGGATCAGGGAAGTGGAGGTTTGGCAGGCCATAGCATAACGTCTTCACGCCATGGGCATGGGCAGATATATACTTAGACAGCCCGAGGTCGGGCTAGAGCGGGGAAGGATGAGCGACCTGCAGGGACAAATAATCAGGATAAAACCAGTCAATGGAAAACGATGACAACTGCGAAGAGAGGAAATATAGACAACTGTGGGAAAGTAAGTAAGAATAAAATAGGCATTGAAATCAATATAACATGGGGAGGATCAGATGTAAGCCAGATCAGAGGTTAACTTAACTGATAGGACAACCTGGTGAGACGGAGGAAGAAGTGATTCCTAGGGCAACCCGGAGAAGGAAGTGGTTCAAGACGAAAACCAGTGACCTCAGTCACCATATAGAAGGCAATGAAAAGGTTTCATACATTTAAACCAATGACAGAGGATAACAACCAATCACAGAACAGCAATCAACAGCAAGAAAAGATGGAAGACAAGAGGAAACTGCCAGGAATGTAAGGAAGAAGAAAGTGAAATTGCAAGAAATTCTAAATACAACCCTAGCAGGAATTATCGACAGGGAAATAGAAGCTAAGATATCAGTTATATAAAAAATAGGCTTCGACAGCTTTGGCGCAGAAAAAGGAAAATGTCCAAAAAAAGAGGGAAGGAAGAACAGGAGAGAGAGAGGGAAATAGCAAATTAAAGATGAGACAAGACCTGCGGCAGCTTCGTGAGGAGAACAGGAAGGCTAGTCCATAGATAACAACGGGAAGGTATAATGCCCTGATAGTATAATGCCCTGATTGACCTGATTGCAAATATTTACTGAAAATAAAGAGTTTTTATGTGCATAAACAATATTATTTTTATTGGAGGAAATTGTGAATATCATCATTTTCTATAAGAATCATGAAAAAAATGCTAAATAAAATATTTTTATTAAGTTTTATTTGACAGAGAAAATTAGGGGATAATTTGAAAATAATTTTTTTTTCAGTGAAAAATGAAAAGTTAATAAAAGCATGTTTTCAAAATATTTGTTTTATTTTTAAAAATCTAATTTTTTTCAGTAAATAAATAAATTTTTAAAAAAAAGAATTTTTATATAAATATCGATTTTTAATTGTGTTTTTAAAGTTAACAAGGGGTAGTCATTCCTGATTTTTGAATGCCCAGATTTTGTAATGACCTGATTTCAATACCTACAGTGTATTGTCTATACTTTTTTTGAAGTTAATGAAAATATTAAAATCATTTTCCTTTAAAATAACACTGGAACACCATTAAGAATCATCAAATATTAGGCATAATTAGAAGGAATAATTTATTATCACATGCATGCAATGTTTATATGATGCTATCAATATGCTTCATTTGTATATATATAATATATCCCTTAAAAAGTGTTCAAAAATTCACTATATATTTTTTGTGATTTTTTTTATATAATATTATATAACTTTGAATTTTCAGCAATGAAATTTTAATGTAAATAGAAGTTAAAACTATTTTGGTGTTAATTTCTTAACCCCTTGCAAAAAGAAGAAGTTACAATATATATAGTGATAATGCCACACTGAATCCGTCTAGCTGTATGAATATATATGAACATCTCTTATTCGCAACTCCTATTATACAACTTCAGTAATTGTGACAATATCATCATTTTCTATGAAAAGAATCATGAAGAAAATGCTCAAAAATAAAATATTTTTATTAAGTTTTATTTGACAAGAAAATTGACAGGGGTATAATTCTTTTTGATTTTAGGGTATAATGACCTGATGACCTGATAAAATGAAAACCTATAATAAAAGCAAGTTTTCATAATATTTGTTTCATTTTTCAAATCTAATTTATTTTCAGTAAGATAAATAAAGGTATAACAAAAAGAATTTTCAAAAATATCGATTTTTAATTGCTCAAATGTGCTTTTAAAGTTAACAAGGGGTATTATGTCCTGATTTTTGAATGCCCTGATTTTCGCTAATGACCTGATTTCAATACCTACAGTGTATTGTCTATACTCATTCATTGAAGTTGATGAAAATATGAAGAATTCCCTAATAATAACAGGGAACACCTTAATTAAGATAGAAATATGAGCAGGCGTAGAAGGAATCAGTGAAATAGAGCAAGAGCAAGGTGTACCTTAGAAACACGAATGCTAATGGGGACCTATATCAAAATATATCCCTTGCAAGTGTTGCGAGTTGCTGTGGGACCTATTTGTGATTTTTATATAATAGTGTAAACTTTGAATTTTCAGAGTGAAATTTTAACGAAATAGAAGTTAAAACTATTTTGGTGTTAATTTCTTAACCTCGCTTGAAAAAGAGGGAAGTTATATTATATAGTGATCGGAATGCCCATCCGTCTAGCTGTATGCTTTTGTATGCCCATCTCTTATTCGCAACTCCTCTTATACTACTGAGTGAATTTTACTGAGACTTTCACACAGTCTTTGTTTCAAAGTGCCTTTGTGAACTCATATTTTACTGTCTGATCCGACACATTTTGGGTTTCCCAAATCCTGGACATGGCCATTCTTTCTATGTCATCTTCTCAAGACCCATTGGGCACTGAAACTTATATGGAGGCGTCGGGGGGGGGGGGGTAGTGTAGATAATAAATTGTTCAAACAAATAACTTCCGAGGTAATGGTGGGGCCAGAGTAGGGAATCAAAGTTTTACTTTGAAATATTTGGAGGAAATCTTTAAATATAAATTTATTATGAACCACTAGGCCAGAAAAGCTGAAACCTTTATGGTAGCATCTTGAGGAAGAGTAGATACTATATTGTTAAAAATACCCTCGGTATATGAGGTTTTAAAAAAATCTTCTCAAAAAATCACTAGGCCAGGAAAGCTGAAATTTATGTGGAAGCATCCTACGGTAGAGTAGATATTTTAAAATCATGACTCCCGAGATTATGTTGGAACCACAACAGGAATTCCCAAGTTTTACTTTAAAATATATTGGGTGACAAAAAATCTTCTTCTCAAGGACCACTGGGCCAGAAAAGCTGAAACTTATGTGGAAGCATTCCAGTGTAGTGTACTAGATTAAATTGTTTAAACAAAGACTCCGGAGGGTAGGATGGGACCATGAAAGGGAATCCAGTTTTACTTTGAATCAAAATGGGAAAAAAATCTTTAGATAACGATTTCTCAAGAATCACTGGCCAGAAAACCTGAAACTTATATGGACACATCCTGGGAATGTGTAAATTCTAAATTGTGCAAAGTAGGACCACTTGGAGCAGGGTGGGGCCACAGCAGGGAAATAAAATTTTACATTGAAATGATAGGAAAAACCTTGAGAACCACTAGACAAAAAGAAGCCGATTTTCTTAATTCTGCGGCAGTATAGATTCTACATGTACATTGTTCAAATAATGACCACTGCCGGTAGGGTGGAGCCACAATAGGGAATCAAGGTCTTATATCAAAATATAATTAAAATCTTTAAAAATCTTCTTCTCAAGCAGCCATGGACTTGAAAAGCAGAAAACAACATTAGTTTTTAAATATGACTTTTTCCGAAAATTTGTTCTCTCCTATAGGTCATTATTATTTTTTTAAATTCCGAATACTTCCATAATGGACACCACAGTTTCACACACAGTTTTAATAAAATATGCAAAGTTTCTGAAAAGAATATATACACTGTATGATGAAAAGCATTATGGTGATAAGGAAATATGATGTTTTAATGCCAATTCATATGACTGTCTTATTAGAACTAAATAGATAACTCATTGCATAGAATAATTTTAATTCGATAATAAATGTAAAGTACTTACATATACATAATGTATGCAATTCAAAGGGTAAAAAGTTTTTCTAGTAATCATGGCACATACATGAATATGATATAAAAGCAGAAACTAAAATTTAATAAAAAAAATCACAAACTTTAATTAAGATGCAATCATCAAATCAACAATTAAATAAATAATTCACAATTGTTTTACATGGCACAATCATTTTTAATTACAAAAATATTTGTAAAAATATCAATTATTGAACTATTACATCTATAATAAGAAGTCCACAGACCACAACGCTCAACTTCCTCACCAGTTTTCCCCAATTGTAGTACCTATTGTGGCCCACACTACCCCTAGGGCAATGATTGAAACAATTTAAATATACACTACCCCAGGATATTTCAACATAAATGTCAAAATTGCAGCATTTCTGTCCTGTGCAGTGGTTTCTGAGAAGATTTTTCCTTTATATTTGAAGAATTAGATTCCCTTTTGTGGCCCCACCACCATGCCCATGCCCCTAGAGGCATGGTTTGAAGAATTTAGAATCTTCACTATATATATCCCTGGATGCTTTCACAAAAGTATTAGCTTTTCTGGCCCATTGGTTCTTGAGAAGATTTTTCCTATATATTTTAATGTGAAACTTGGATTCACTTTTGTGGCCCCGCTATGCCCCCAGTGAGTCACAACCCAGGTTGCATCCACATGAGTTTAGCATCTCTGGCCGAGTAGTTCTTGAGGAGAATATTTTAAAATATTTTCCCTCCCTATATATTTCAATGTAAAAATTAGATTCAGTTGTGATTCCTCGCCCTTCCTCGGGTCAGGATTTGAACAAATTAGAAATTTCAATACCCAAAGATGTCTTCACATAAATTATAGCTTTTCTGGCCCAGTGGTTCTTGAGAAGAAGATTTATAAAGTTTTTTTTTTCAATATACATGTATTTCAATGAAAAATCTTGATTCCCTATTGTTGACCCGCCCTATGCCGGGGTCATGAATTGAAAATTTAGAATCTACATTACCCCCAGTATGCTTCGATATAAATCTAAAAAGTTGATATTAATACAATTTGATTTATAAAAAATATCTTAAGTTTTAGGCGTTTAAAGATCATTGCAAAGAGAGCTACTATTGATGTTAAACGACAAAATGTTATAAAAATATAATACAACGGAAGAAGACATTTTGAAATTTTTAACAAAACTAAATAAATCCTAATATCACATTTAATCCATAGAATTTTATGTTAAAGTAAACTATAATTTGTCAAAATTTTTAACACAAACTAAATAAATCTATAAGAAATGTTAATAGGAAACACTTTTAGAAATTTAGCAATGTATTTATGAATTGGTATTGAAAGAGTTGCTATTCGAAAAGGAACATGTCAACCAGGTAAGTAAAAAAAATATATTACGCCACTGATTGAAAAATATTTTATGTACATACAAGTGTATTCATTAAAGCCACAATTATTTTCTATTTGATGTATAATCCTTAATACATCAGGTACTTTTATAGTATAACTATATAAAATAAGTATTTCTAGCTGACATGTACAAATCAATGACACTAATATTACAAGAATATTACACCTATAACAGCTGTGCAACGCAAGATCATCGATCGAGGAATATAAACATCATATGAATTAATTTATACAAAAACAAATTGTATAAACCACTAAATAAAATTGTTTACCTACATGTATATTTTACTGAAACATTGGCAGATGTAGTGACAATATAATTTTAAAAAAGAAATTGAAGCAATAGCTATACTCTTAAAGTATACAATTCATGAGTTAATCAATATCATTTATTCTACACAGCAACAAAATTACACGTAATTTAAATTCTGAAGACATTTCATGCACATGTAGATATTTATGAAGGGAGGGGGCTATTCAAGAACATGTACCCAATATATTGTAGATATTTACAAGTGTACTAAATTTTCAAATCAATCCAAGCAATATCTGTGTCAATATGAATATCTTGACTATAAGATTTTCTTAACAAAAACTTACTATTAAAAATATTTTTACTATGAAACATATGAAACTTTACTCTAGAACTTTTTTTTTAGATTTCAAATCTCTTAAATTTGTGAATTGTGATGAAAAATTACTAATGAATGTTATGCAATAATTTCATTTATGTTATAAAAAATGTGCATTTTTATATGATAGAAAACCTAAAAATCATAGTAAACTCGAGTAAGCTCGAATTACTATACCTAAATCGTTGATATACATAGTAAAAACTTTGTGCTAAAGAAAATTATTGTTCATTGCAGTAAACTTTAAATAACTATGGTTTATATTTGCAAGACACACATCCTTCTTACCAAGAAAGGCAGAACCATTTATGAAAAGTAGTCAATGCTTAAATCATTGTCTTGCAGCTTAAACTTGTATTAGTGTAAAAAAGCAATAATCCTGATTATTTTCGTGTAGATACCCCTGCATCCACTTGTTTATCCAGACATATCCTTCCTTGTTTAAATGGTAAATATGGTTGTGAACAGTCATTAATTTCTTCCTATAAAATAAAATAAAAATTTACTACAGTTGATAATGTTGCTAGGTGTCATGTGATGTTGTTTCCAAGATAAGGCATTGAAGCATCGATTTCATTATGCACATTAACATCGCTCTAAGTTCAAAGACGTACTTGCAGACCCCTCATTTTACGTGGTTATTAGCATATACATGTATAATTAAGACTCAAAAACCAATTTTGCAATCTTTTGGGGGAAATGTTTTAAGCATCCTTCTACAAATGAACAGACAACTAACGTTGTACAGAATACTATGAGCTAGTAAATAAGTAAATAAACTATGAGCTAGTAAATAAGCTATGACACTAGCGTGTTCTGAAGACATTAATGTTTATGTACCTTTGATGCAATTTGGATTTGGAAAAAAAAGGCGAAATACGGATTATGGTTATGATTCTTTTTCATAACATGCATTTTATATCAATAAAAATCAACTCACATTCACCGGATGCACGGTCAGTAAGCTGGCTTGCATCACATTGCTGTCACCTCACCGTTGTGGTCGTCATTCATCATGGTATTGGTGTAACTAAGCTTATTCTGTGGATTGTCATTGCCTCTCTCTCGTTTTTCCGTGTGTTCATCATCCAGGGCTTCATTTTCATGACCACCAGAAGGAGTGTTTTGTTGATCCTCTTGGTAATGTTTGGGTTTTGTCCTACGTGGCTACAGCAGAAGTTTTGTATTTAGAATTACACAGAATAACGACAAAAAAATTGTTTCTTTGAAAAAGCTAAATGAATGAATTAATTAAAAATTGCAAATTAAAAAAAATAAAATAAACGTTTCTCTTAGGACACCTTCATCACTGACTACAGCAAGATAACTAATTTATAACAAGGAAGTTTTTGAAATTGAGCGTTGCAAATGATATTTTTTTTATAAATTCAATTCTAATAATGTAATTTGTTTTAATTTCGACTTTGCCAAATTTGAAAAGTTCATTTCAAACTAAATTCAATGCATCATATTCTAATTCTTATGTAAAGATCAGGCCTGGAGGCCATAAAACTTAGACGAGCTCACTTTTGATCTGTCTCACTTTTCCACTATATATTCCTTTGGTTAAAGTGACACTGAGCTCAAAAGTGAGCTCGTCTAAGTTTTATGCCCCTCAGGCCAGAATAACAAATTTATACATATTCAGTATTACATATAACACGGTAACTGTTCTTGAACAGCTTTATTTTCACTCTGCAAATTCTGTTGCAATGTCTGTCTTATACTGTCTTCTAGCTGTAACATTGAACATATTAACTCGGACACCTTTCAAGTTTTTTCAATATTTTATTTGTCAATAATTCTTTCAGAAAATACATTTTATTTTTCAAAAATAACAAAGGGAGTAATTCAACAGGTTACATTTTAAAACAACACACACACAAACACTCTCTAATATTCATAATGCTAACACAATGTGCCACATACATTTTGAATTTTACTAAAGATAAAAAGTACATGTATTCATCAAATTTACCTTATTTTTTGACAGTTTAAAATGGCATCTTCCTGGACTGTAAGGTCAGTGAAAAAAAATTTAAAAGTGCACTTTTCTTGTTTCATACATGATAATGCCCAATTTACATAAATGAAGACACATTCGGCACACTGAGCTTAATTAAAAGTGTCCTGTATACTAAAGTATTTACCACAGAAATCGATGTACTAATCCTCTTATCTGTTCATAAAAATCACATCCCTTGCTTAAACCAATTAACTAATAAGTATCAACACACAAACAGTCTGTCAAGAACATAGTCAAAAAAACTTCACCTCAACTCTAGTCACACACTCGCACACAAAGACACCATTAAAAAAAACAAAGACAAACATACTGAGTATTTGAGTTAATAGCCATCTTTTAAGCAAGTGAAATATCATAATACAATTACTACATTGTATTTCTAAACAAAAAATACACTAGCATATCATATTACTCAGTAATTATATAGATTCTATTACTTTATTTGCGTAATATCTTATTTCAAACAAATACAAAGAAAAAAGACTTAAGGAGGAATGCCACACCAACTTTTTATTTTATAGATCTTTAAGTCACCCTTTTTAAACAATGGTTTCAGCATTGAAAGGCCAATATTAGCTCTATATATTTTATATGAATTTTTTTTTCTTTTTTCAAAGAAAATGAAAAAAAAATATTTATATCCAAATAAGCTGTTTTCGAGTAAAACTTTTGCTGTAAATGAATGCATCACATGAATGCCTAATAAAATATGTTGAGAAAAGCCGTATATGTATTAAATTTTTTAAAATAAAAAAATATTCATGAAAATAAAACACATAATTTGTGAATATTTTTTGAACTTGTGGTTAAAATCTTCTTAAGACCAGTCACAACTGGAGAGAACATCCGTTAATCATATTTATAAAACAAATTGAAATGAAATAGCCAAATTTTAGAGAAATTATTTTTTTTTTAATTTTGGCCAATCCCGATCGATCCCAACCATAATTGTACAATTATTGAAAATAAATAACTTTTCCCCAAGAACACTATATTGATAAGGTGTAATAAGGGTTAAACATTATTGAACTTGATAATAAAATAGATTTTTTTTCATTGTTAATACATGAAAAGGCAATAAATTAGCATTTTATTCATTTTGTTTTAATTTTGATCGGGATCAGTATAATTATGATCGCGTTAGGTCCAAATATTAAAAAAATTAATTTCTCTAAAATTTCTCAATTTCGTTTCAATTTCTTTTTAAAATATGATTGACAAACAAGTTGTCCTCAGTTGTGACTAGTTTTATGGTGTTTTTAACCATAGTTTTAAAAAGTATTCAAAAATTATAGGTTTTATTTTCATAAATATTTTTTTATTAAAAAATTTAAAAAGTCTAACCAACCTTTCTTCACATGTTTTGTCAGATATTCATATGATGCATTCATAATCATATAAAATAATTAAGAGCTAATGTTGGCCTTTCAATGCTGAAACCATTGTTTAAAAAGGATGACTCAAAGATCTATAAAATAAAAAGTTGGTGTGGCATTCCACCTTAAAAGGAAATTAGGAAAAGTGGCCAAAATCATGGTTGTCACAGTAATCTTTGTAAATATAGGGCAAGTTAATTATCACGTAATTTTTTTTCATGTCGTTTGATAAAAAAAAAATTAGGTTCAGATTGTCAAAAGTAAAGAGAACCATCTTAAATAAACATTATGTCCTGCTTGTAAATTCCTGTCATCATACATGTTGATCATTTACTTTACACAATACCAATTTTTTTTTATTTCCACTGTTTTCACAACATAGCAAAGCATAAAAATTTCATAGTAGCGAACTCAGTATGCATGATGCATTCATAAAGATAAAAAATATATATACTGGAAAATATACTGTAGAAAAATTATTAAAAATCATTTGTTTATTCAAAGATACTTGACCATACATTCAATTTTAACGAATGTTCAGATGAGCTAACGATTTTAAATTGCAGAAAAAAACTTAATATTAAAAAAATCGCTTTTTTATTTGGTTGCATTTTCTGTTAAAGAAAATAGCAGGACTTTTATCCAACTACAAAGAAATAATAAGAGAAAAAAAATAACAGTCTCTAACTACAAAGTTCTTGTGAAAATGAATAATGAGGGCGAACACCCTAATATTGAAGAAATTTCCTGTTATATTCTTTGAGACTGTAATTAATTTATAAAGAAAATTACATGAAAAAAAAACAATAATAAACCCCATCTTTAAAAAAACGACAACATGGTAAATGCACGGTAGTTAACCTGTTCGGGACTTTTCTTATTATTTCATTGAAAATAAAGTTAAAGAGAGTCTAAATTTAAGAAAATCATTCAAATCTTTGGGGAGTTTTATGTCAAAGCCTTTATACTGCATAAATTATCTTTGGTCAAATTGATCGCTTAACAATTAGGCAGTTTTGCCGAAGGTAACACTGGCGTATTCTGTAGTGCTGGCCTCCGTCTTGGGCTGGGACTGGGATTTGTTACTGCCTCCTTGGGGCCGGACTGCTATTTCAAGGTCAGCGTAGTGAAGTTCCGTCTTAGCCTCGTCCTTTGCTGCGTCATCTTTTTTGTCGTCAGCGTTTTCGTTCTGGAGACCAAAAACAAAACGGATATATGTAACAGTGAAGCATGTCATTCTGGCATGACATTGCCATCACTTTAAAGAAAGTCTTCTCGATTTCAGCTGGTTAAATGGTATTTATTAAAAAAAGCTCTGTATGTTTCAATGTTATTTTTAAAAAAGCAATTTAAAATGATAGTTATTTGTTCATGCAGTGTTAGATTCGTTCGATCCTAGGGGTCTGTGTTCGAACTTCTCATGCAGTTACAGAAAAAGTAGTTTTCATACGGAACATTTATCCTCCTGGATACAAAAATAGACCTTGATATGTTTCTTTATACCGAAGAGATAAATACAGTCTTTATAAAATAAACAATATACGGTCAAGATTACATATACATGTATACATTCTAAATATCTTCTTAGTTTTCATAATAAGTAGTAATATACGCAGACAAGAAGCCAAAATATTAACATTACTAAATATTAAAATATATAATTGAAATAAGAATATCAGGTCCACACTCAAAGTAGAATGATACAAAATGTTTGAAAAACTATAATCCTATTCCCAGATCGTAAAATATTTCAAAATTGACATTCAACATATCAGCAAGTCTTTCAATTTTCATACAAACTGTTTTATAAAGTAAGCATTTCACTGTCTAACAATATACATTTAAGAGTACAAATCTGAATGTATGAATACTTTCAAAATTAAAATGTTTAAACTATCCTTTATTTTTACGAACAAAAAAACCCCAATATTGATATATTTCAACTTCTAAACTGTTAAAATTTAGAATTGTTTTTACTTTTATCACATGGTATATACTCAAAGATATACTAATTATATCAATACTGCGAAATGTGAATATAAAATTGACAAACGGATTCATTTTATCCTTATCACATTTGATGAATATAATGTGATGACGAACTTTTCAATCATCAACTTCTATTATTAATTCAGCAATAAATCTTGATCACGGAGTTCATATCTCTCAGTTGACTAGATACACTAGAGCATGCTCTACGTATGAACAACTGCTCAAACGAATTAAGTTATTGACAAAAAAAGTGAAAGAATATCAGCAATCTCGATTAAAGTCACCATTTTGTAAGTTCTATGGTCCATACATCTTGTCAGGAAATACACTTTATCATTATTATGAGGGTTATCATAATAATTGTTAGACCATCATTTACACACTGGATTGTCTGCGGATTTTATGTCATTTCACGATCATGACAAGAAGCATACGGCGGGAATGCTTAATCTTTTATGACACATGATCCCATCTCTGATGTTTTAGATGATCGTGTTTGCTCTGCTCCAAAATTTGTATTGTTTGAATAACTTCTGAGCTTGATAACTGTTCGGTATCTCCAAATATTTCATAATACAGATAATTTTTTCTTTGTTTCTATCTTTTTACAGTTGCAGATGACTTTTCTCTCTTTTAAAATATGTACGGAAGATTTTTCCTGATTTTTAAAAGCTTAATTACTCGAGATTCTGTAGGAAAATTTAATAATCGAGATTTATATTGAGAGACTATAATAATACATGAACGTAAACGTAAAAACATTCTGTAATCTATTTAATGGAATGATGTACAATGTAGCATTTCATTATGGAGATAAGTCGTTCGGAAGGAAGACCATTTATTGCTCTAACGACAAGAAAAAAAAAAAACCTTTTTAAGTCTTCTTGCATGTTAGCATTCAGTTTATGTAATATGAGATGTATACCAATTAATACTGCAGAAATTCAAATATAAAATTAACAAGGAGATCCATTTTCCCCATCCCATTTGGTAATGACATCGACAAAACACAAAGTAATGGTTGAGATAATACTTCTTCAGAAAATGCAACAATTTTCTATATCATTTGAAAAAAAAAAATGAAAATGCAACTAAAATAAAAACAATCATAACAAAAAAAACAAATCCAACCATAAACAATGCATTAATTTGTAATTTGTTAATTAAAGTCTCTTCCATAGTGGCCAAAAGGTTAAAAGAGCGAAAATTTAATGCGTTATTTCAGCAAATATATCTAGGCTATATGGATAGACAGTTATGAAGGAATTTACTACATGTATGAATGAAATGCAGAGATAACACTCTAAGTACAAAGATATAATGATAATAAAGGTACATTCTCTGATAAGTTATAAGACCCCAGGGGGTCATCTCACCTGTTTTTCTGGGGCGTTGTTGTTTTTAACGGGCATACTATAAACAGATCCCTCTGAATTAGATGGCCCATTATATCTAAAACACACAGTCATAAAGTAAGTCAACATCTGTTGTATATCAATAATCAGTACTTTGGTCATGAAGAAGATAAGATCAGTAACTGAAAACTATTTATTACACTGCGAAATGAAATGACAGTTTTCTTTCAACGAAGATCTAGTCTAGTCATTCTACTGAAAAATGAGAACTAATTGCAACAGTTTATATTTCAATGCAAATTTGTAGATAAGCTATTGGTAACTCACATATAAAAAGTTTAGAAAAATTCAGTCAGGGGAAAGTTGGGAAATCGAAAGATTAAAATTAGGGATCAATATGAATTTAGAATTACCCATTTGCACACCGTACTTTTTCTATATGAGCTTTCTATGACAGACAGCCTGTAAACAATAGCCAATTAGCATTAAAAGTTGTTGTTTTAACCTTTAGTTTGTTATGCAATCAAAACTTAATCAAAAATATTATATATTTTGATATTCAAAGAAGTGTAGTTTTGACTTCCACACCGGCCAAATATCATCTACACATGTATAATGGTTAAAATTACCAAACAAAAGAGTATGGAATGCTGTTTGTATTCACAATATATTCCTAAATGTGAATGTGTTTACTTTCATTTTATTTGTAAACACCTGATGGTACATTATAGTAATGTAAATAATTCAAATGGAATCGTTTAGACAGAATTAAATGCTTAAATTCTCTTTTTTACATTTTTAATGTAACTTTTTAACAAAATATTTTAAACCCATTTTTTAAAACTTAACTCCTTGTAGATCATATGGTCATTTTTGCAACAGTAAAATGCCTGTGCGGCACTTATTGAAGCTCCATTTTATATGGGGACTGGTGACAACGGCGTTTCCATGAGCATGCTTAAGAATGTGAAAAATTTGGAACACTTTCAAAGTCACTTCTTAATAAGAGCAACATTGAAAAAAGAAAAGTAGATGGACGTGAATCCTTCTACTATAATTGTATATTGTTTAACGTCCCTCTCGAGAATTTTTCATGCATATGGAGACACCACCACTTCCCAGTGGAGAGCTGCATATTTTGTTCTGTACTCAGCACTTAGGGCCATTAAGCAGTGAGGGATATTTTTCGCGCCAGTGCCTACTGCGACACGGGACCTCGGTTCCGACCGGTCTCCACACCCCACAGTGGGATTCGAACCCGCGACGTAAGGATCGACTCCTTACTTCGCAACTCTAGAGCAGATGCTCTAACCACTGCGCCATGCGGGTGAATTCCTAGATTAAAGCCAAAGTCTTATAATTTCTATTACTGTTAGGATAAAAATATTTGGGGATAATATAACAATAATACTTTTACAAATGAATTTGGACAAGTAAAAATTGACTACTAGTATTAAGAAGGGTAACAATATAATAACTATTAACTGCGCAGAACCTTTGCGCGCACATTTCACGATATTTTGTACTCAATGCAGTTTAATTACTGTTGAATCGGCTACATCTTGGTCAACAATGATCATTTTCAAGGGATAACAATTTCAGATTTTATCCTAAAACGTGCCTTATCTTCATATTATTGAATGTAGTTGGTGTAATTACACTAAAAAAAAATTTTGAAATATTTTATGGAATATCACCATCCATGAAGCAACATTGACTGTTGCTATGTTCTTATCACACCGGAGGGCATGGTTTCATTATATGGAGGGTAAAAAATGCATTGATCCACTCGATATGAGTAAGATAGCACTTTTATTAAACTCATGAAAAGAAATACCCTGTAGGGTACAGTACCCGGGTGTGGGGTGGGTTCAAGTTCTGATCAAGCAAGAACCAACATACTCATTATAGTGTACAAGCATTTTATGATACTGATGTAAACAGAATATTTTTTTTTATTTCTGATCATTTTATACAAGTTAGATATCATTATAGTGTACAAGCATTTTATGATACTGATGTAAACAGAGTATTTTTTTTTATTTCTGAGCATTATACAAGTTACCAACCAATCAAAACTGGTGTCACGTGTTAAAAGAAAATTTTCTGAAGGGTGGACAACACAACTACAATGTAATCTGTGGGGAACAACTCTGCTGTGCGTAAAAAAAATTTCAGATTTCAGAATATTTTTCGACACAAAAAAATTAACAACCTACCTAATCCAGAATAAAAACATATAAATCTATTTCGGGGAGGAATGGGGTTCTATGAGATCTTCTCACAATTTTCTTCATATACGGGGAAAACCTTGCAGTTACAGGAGGGATTCAGTTTTTTTTTTAATTTTTTTTTTTTTTTTTTTTTGGGGGGGGGGGGCATTTTCTGCTACTTTTTCATAAAAAAAATTCTTATTGGGGGATGTCCCCTGACCCCTCTAAATCTGCTCCTAATTATTTTTGGATATTACCTTTCATAAGAATTAAAACATTTTTATTGTTTCTTAACTTTTGGTGATTGAGTATATTTGTGCTATACCTAGCATTGCTGAATACTGAATTACAATTTTCATGTAAAATTCATTTATAATGTATCCATGGTTACCACCTATTTACATAAATCTTCTATATAATTTCTTTGAACAGCTGTTGAAGCATTTATGGCAAAAGAATGCATTTTAAGTATGCGTGTAAACTAACGTAGTGACTGTATTCGTGTTGGTAAAGGTTCACTGTTCAAAAGTAGGTGATATTCTCAATTTATACTGTTTCCATGGCAACCAACACATATAGTAACTAAAATTTAATATTTTTCCAATTCAGTTTATTCAGTTAAGTTTATTTCCCTCCTAACATGTTTTTTTTTTTAAACCAGTATAGAAGTCTCTACTTTACATTGTTCGTTTAACACTTAATCAGAGTGAACACAATACGTCCCAATATTGACCCGAATTTTTCAATTTTCCCATGTATAATTTTTTCTAAACTTTTTGTTATATATTCAGACCATATCATAGATTGATTAAAACTAAGTTTTGAAACTGTTGCAATTAGTTCACATTTTGATGGAAAATTTGATATTTTGACTAGACTAATCATAGACATCTCGATATAGCTTCTCATTCTATTAGATTCTCTAAGCTGAGGAAACAAGGGTATCAACAGTTTTATTTAAAGGATAACAAACACTTTACAAATTCTCAAGTGGATAAAATGACCCCGTCAGCAAATAAAATCTGTAATAAAGTCGAATGTTGGCAGACTCTTCCCCATAAAAACGTGTTTTCCGGTCAACAGGGAATGCTCACTTCTCCATGGCACCTAATCCAACCTTTAATGTTTTTGGAGATCTGTGTTTGCTCTACTCTTTTGTTCAGTGAACTTGTGACTTAATTGTTGTTTGTTTTCTTCATAATTTAAATTTTAATATTTTTTTTTTCATTTTTTCCCCACATACCATTAATTTATTAAATCAACTTACCCTGGAACATTTCCCGTTGCTTTGTCTGAAATGAATAAACGAGAACCAGGTTGAAGAAGAATTTACTTTTGTTAATGAAAAACATTTTTTTTTCTGTCAGAAAACGTCAATTTTGAAAATAAGATCATTTTAATAAAAATGTTTTATTTCATTTGCAGTAAAAATTCCAAGTTGGTTATATTTTTCAAAATGACAAGAAAAGAAGAATAAAAGAAAGATGGTGTAAATTTTTACTTTTCCTTTGCAATATGGCAGCAAGTTTTTTAATCAAGTTACTACTAGCATTGCTTATCGAGTTGGAAGATAAATTTTTATGTATGACTAGTTGATGAACCGGCAGTATTAGTCTAAATTTGAGATGAATATCAAATGGGGTAAAGTTTGAATTAAGTAAGCAAAATGTACGTGCATTAAACATGCAAAAAAAAAAATAATAATAAAATAAAATAAAAAGAACCATCACATGCATCTACATATGTCTGAAGCAGTTTATATTTGTCGCTATAGCAGCATATACTTGTCATTGTATATAAATATTCATTGAACACTTGCAGAAAGCGAGTATTTAATTTCGATTACATTAAGTAAGCCTAGAATGTGTATCATGATTGGAACTTAAACCTCAATTCCAAAATAATTACAATTGTATATTTGTAAGAAAACTTCCATTAGGCATAGATTGTTAACTTGTATATATGTTATTTACTAGATATAAAAATATAGTTACCATTGGAAGATTCAGCCGCTAATAAAATAATGTCAGAGTTTAAAATGGTGTGATTACAATAAATAGATATGTTGTGCCGGTAATAGTACTAATTGTATACATTTGCTGTGTTTTTATGTGAAATGAAATACCATTTTTGTGTATACTCACGCGTAGAAATATTACGGGAGAAGCGTGCGCTAACATGGCGTCACAATGAGGCTACAGAGACGTTAGTAAAATTATAACGATATAGGACAGCCAGGAATTCAAATATTGAGTTTATTTTTTATGCTTTTAGACATGGAAAATGTGAATGTAAGGAATGTTTTTATGTTTAGAGTGAATCATTGGTGTGTAAATCACACAGACTAGCGCGCTTCATGAAATATGCCTACGTAACAAGTCTGTGTGACTTACACACTAATAACTCACACAAAACTTTAAAACATTCCTTCAGTATATCTTAAATTTCATACATTTACATCGTTGAAAAGAATAACCTAGAAATTGCAAATACTATAAACTATAAAAAAAATTCATAAAAATAATTATTTTTTTTTCAATTCACAAATTAATAGGTTTTATCAATTTTCTAAAAATTATTTTCACAGGTACACATTAAAGAACATGTATTTATATACCAAAAGTGCAACAATGTTCTTCCAGAAGTCAACTTAATTTCAACACAATAATTTCAACAACAAAAAATTAACCAGTTAATCAGAAGGGCTTGGGCACAAATTAGAAGTTTTCTCAGATTTTCTGTATAATACATGTACCATGACTTAGATGATAATATTATAGCATTTTAAACGGAAATATACGTATATATATTTACATTTATAAATAATTTTCCTTAAAATAACTGATTCTTAGAAAGTGGGAACACTGTTCATTTTCTCATGAACTACCACGCTTCACGACGGCATATTTGTCAAGAACCGCTAACGCTCTTCATGAAATATGCCGCCTCGAAGCCTTGTAGCTCCTAACCTCATGAATCTTCAAAAATTAAATTCATTTCTTAAGGTCAGACGAGACGTGTATTTGTATATCTCCTCAATGTATGAAAAATATACAATTTGTATAACAGTGTAATATATAAAGCATGAAATTATACAGAAAATTTGAGAAAATATAACTTCAAATTTGTGTCCAGGTCCCTTTAGTATCTGGCATATCTACATTTTGTAAAAGAACTTATAAAGAAAATGATTTTTTTTAAAAGTTAATGTTTAAAGACATTGAAGATTCATTTATTTTTTCCCTGAATCAAAGACGAAACATTAATGCGCATATAATTTTGCGGACAACATAATCCTTAATGTCACCGTGAGAAGATTTCATCAAAGGACTGAAAGTACTTACACGATCCGAATCCTGACCCTGATTTTCTGCGAAGCACCAAGAAATAAACCAGAAGAATGATGACGACAAGAACCACAACTCCTCCGACCACGCTCCCAATAATGATGGCGATATCATCTTTACCTGTAACAAAAACTTAAGGCTAGCTGTCTTTATGTATATTTCAACATACATTCTTCTAAAAATAGTGATTGCTAAAACTTTAAAATAAAAAATGCTACATTATCAAATATTTAACATTTACCACTTGTTTTCTTAACTTTTGGAATACCTTTAGAAACATGTTTATATAAAAACATTTACAAACGACCTTTAAAAAATAAAGAAATAAATAATAAATGCTTGTACCTTCAGGGTACATGATAAATAAAGATTCTGATTACAAAATAAAACAAAAGACGGTAAGATGACTTGGAAATTATAAGAACATATCATAATGCAACAAAAATGTGTATATTGAAATACAGTGAAAATAATTCAAATACAATGTATTTGTTTACAGCTTTATTTTCTTCGACTTTCTCGAAAAAAGATTTAAATCAGAACTTAACAATAAGTAAAGGAACAAATGACAAATTATGCTATGAAGGGCAAAAGGGAAAATCAAAGGATTTGAAAACATAAGACACACAGAAAAGGTTCATATGGATATTCAAAGCTGTATACAATAAAAAAAAATTAAAGGTTAACTACTTTTAATAATATTATGATTCTGGCTAATGTTTTCGAATACATCTGATGTACCATTAAATAATATCATATTTTTAAAATTAAAATCTTAGTGGATTTACAATGGAATAACCTAAATATTAAAAAAAATCAGTCAGGTATAAAAACGTTTGCAACTGGTTGGAAATATTCCTGGTAACGAGAGAAATTCTCGATATACATATACATGTACAATGATATACAAAATATCCTTAAAATTTAGATAGTCTGTTTTGTTTAATACATCAAAAAATGTAATTATACCATTTTTATGGTATTGTCTTGAAAATATTTGCCTCGCTATTGTTTTATTTTTCTTGAAAAAGCGTAAAATTCTTGCTTTTCAAGGAATGTTTTCAACCAGATAAATACGCATATAAACATTCTGTATAACATGAATATTGGTGTAAATGGGCAAAGCCTTTATGCAAATAAATTATTGGGGAAAGCCTATTGCTACTTCCAATACGTATTTACCAGTCTTTGAAGATTTTGTTGTTGGTGACTGTGTTGCAGTTGAACTCGCTGTAGAAAGGGACAACAAATAGCTAATATGGATAAACTGTATCCAACGTTTACAGGGATTACAAATGTGCAATGAATATATACCTATTTCTTTTTTGAAAAACTACCTTAGCTAACTAAATTACATTCTGTACCTGTATAGTAAATTAAGAGACGAGGGTCAATTGTTTTGATTTTTTAAAAGTTAATTTTCATGTTACACTCAAGCTTCCATTTTATAAAGAAAATTTAGAATAAGAAAGGACAAGACTTTTTGGCCATGCACTGAGATTTGTTGTCTCCAGGCATATTGCAATAATTTTTACAACTTTATGGGGTACACAAAAGTCACAGAAAGATTACAAAATGTGCCAATTTCCAAATTTTCTCATTTTCATGAAAATATTGATTGATTTTATAGCTTTTTTTTTGTTTCGGAAAACACAGAGCACAAGTTTGCCTACCTTCTAAATTTATATATTTCACGTACTTATATTAGATGCTTATTGTGTATAAAAATCTAAGATAGGCAAACCTGTACAAAATGATTCCTGAAGTGAAAAGTATCTCAGTTTGATGAAATTCAAATCAGAATTTAGGAAGTTCGGTGTAATGTCCAACTGTGACACCCTCTTGAGACCTCACTATACCCTTTTAATCAATTTTATTGTTAGTTTTTGAACAAGCAATATTTAAAGTTCTTAACTACAAACAATTTTAACTGTGTTTTAATTTTTTTTACCATCAAATAGGGGGCCAAATATGGCTGTTACCATATCTTGTCCTTTAATTTCGAATCATTTAAGCATACCAAAACAGAAACATACACGCAAAAGCAATTACGATGATTTTACTAAATTGGGGTTGAACGTTTTGTAAAAAAAAAAAACAAACTTTATTTTATCAGTTTTCATATGAATAATTCATATTGCAAGAAAATAAATACAGTGTCATCAAAATTTTGACAGAAAAAAAGCAAATTGAAAAAGAATTGGAAATTTAACGAGAAAAATATCAACAATATTAAACCTATGTACAAACCATATCTAGAATTACTACAATATGTTTACAAGCGATATTAACAATCAAAGATTTATTAAGTTTCATGTACATGTGTATTTCGAGTAATGACTTAATCGTAATTTTGTAAAACAAGGAACATATGAAAACAACAATATAGTACAAACCTGTGTATGAATACAAATAGGAACAACCTGTATTATAATAAATGTATATGAAAAGTCTTAAAAGTATACTTATGCAGAAAGACGTTGGAAAGTATGTATGTGACAAGGATTACCAGTCTGTGAAGACGAGTCTTCAGTCGAGGTTGACGAATCTCCTTGAGGAGTTGTAGGCCTATTCACTACAGAAAGGGATAACAAATGACGTCTCAAGGAAAAACTACATTTTCATTGATACCAAGGATGCAATATATACCTTTTTTCAGTTATTTTAAAGTCATACATGGAGATGGGAACGACATTCAAAACGTTAATAAAGCACTTTAGGTAAAAGTAAAGATACATATCATATAAAGATGTTAATGATATTACTATTCTTAGTTTTAAAGAAGGCCAGCTTTAAATTTGTGTTTTGCTTGGTAAAATGTTGTATTGATTTGCATGTTTATTTACATATGAAAAACACGCAAATAGGTAAACTCTACGATTTAGTATTCGACACATAGTTTCAAAAGCTATGTGTACTTCGGTTATGATCATTTTTTTTTCTTCAAAAATTTCAGTTTTTATAGACTTGAGCAAAAAATTGAAAGAAACTTAAGAAATGCCATCTTAACTGACTGAGCAATCTTTTAAAAGTAAACTACATAAACAGTACATACTCTCTGTCGTTTCTGGAGTTGTCTCAGTTTCTTCCCCTGTAAAAATAAAAAAGACAAAAAAATGAACTGCAGCATTGCAATTGATTTATACAAAGTGCCCCAAAACGCTTTGCGGTTTCTAAAACGTACTCTGCCCCAGGTTATGTTATATATCGTGTAAAATACTAGTAGGTTAAAATAAGCTTTATTCCTTAAAAATGACACCAAATTCTGCAAAAAATAGCTACTTTACTCGTAAGTACATTTGACACTCACCGATAGATATGTTAACATACTGCATAGCTGTTCCAGATCCGCAAAGAGAAGAATAACCGGACTCACACAGGAACTGTGTACCGGTGTCACTGCTGGTGAGGTTGTAGGTGATGGTACTGGAACGGGTGTATTGACACCCTGCCTTGGAGGCCTGGGAGTGGACTGGGGCCTCCGGTAGCCCCGTGAAAGATGAGGCATCAGCAGTCTTAGCACACCAACGTATTGTCTGGAATAACAGGAAATGATATATAACATTCATTAACAAATGATTTTTCAAAAAAGGTATTTCAAAGCAATTCTAACAGAGTTTGCAGCAAAATGTACAAAAAGTTTGAACTGGCATCAAGAAATAATGGACTGGCGGATTAGGAGAATACGACTCTACAGAATATGTTATTGAAAAGGTAGTAGAAATCTTTCTAATCTCTGTAAGAATTATGGAAAATTGCTACAAACTTACAGCGCTGGGGTCACTGCCGATTTGTCCAGTACAAGTCAGCTGTATGGTAGTCCCTACTTGAAATTGTCTTCTAGATGTGTAAGATTCACCTTGAATTCTGACGCTAGGTGCCGCAATCTGTGCTGGTTGAACTAAAACACACAATAATTCAATAATGTATTATTAATTATCTATAACTATAATCTCTAAACAGGAAAAATGAGAGACATTGCTCATTCAAATAGGGGTATTGACTTAAAGAGAAAGTAGCCGAGGATGTATTTTGGTAATTTTGGAATTCTCAAGAAAGCCGAATGGTCAATTTGTACAATTAATTAAAACTTCAGATTAAATTTTGAAGAACATTTGCATGATTTGTGCTTTATGAAATTTTCCTATGCCTTTCAGTTGTTTCATTTAAACATTTTTTTCAGTATTCGTAATTGTGTATATCTGCGAATTTTTATTGCAAGGTCTTTCTGACATAAGTCTTTTTGTTATATTTAAATTAAAGCTAAAATTCTTCAAAATCATACATCATGTGAAAGTCCTTTCAATGTTTTTCTATCCGAAATATCTCAGAAGAAAAGCAGGTGACTTCGACTTATAAATTACTTAATTGGAATATTCTTCATAATTCAAACAGATGATGTTTGTGAAGGGTTATCCGTATGCTCACCTCTAAAAGTCTTCTGTAATGGTCCAGTTTCCTGATTAACAAGACCCGTGTCAAAAGCACTAAGGGTACACTTATACTCTGTGAAATCCCCGGGACATGTTAAATTACTGCTGGGGAAAAATAACTGAAGAAATGCGGACGAGACCGGACTCACGGCGCCTGTTAAGGTAGTCCTATCCCTTAGTGACGTATCCTGATATGATGTACCCTGTCCGGTAACTGAAGCAGTATTTTCAAAGCCGGTCGATGTGTTTCTCTGCAGTTGTATGACAAATACTTGTGTTAGCAGTGAGCTGGTAACAGAACATATTATATTTACTCCATCCTTTCCCAGTTCTACGATCGTTGGTTGGGCCTGAATCTGCAGGGATCGGGTAGATGCTGAAAGAAAAGGAAGGTAATATATCTGTAGAGAGAATACACATGTATTTCCAAAACATCAAATTTAAAACATTTTTGGTGATAATGGTGGGGGGGGGGAGGGAGGGCACTAAAATTATGATTCCCTGACTTTATAAAAAAAATGAGATTAGAAAAAAAGTTTTAACTCCATTTCCAAGTATTTACAAATCGAGTACTAGTACTTCATTGAGATTCACACACATGTATGTTAGTATACTGTCATAGATGCTAGCACAATCTTGGGCTGATTTACGATACGTAAAAAAAACAAAATTAAAAAAAATATTTTTGATATTTAGTCGAATTCGAAATCTTGATGTAATAATGAATTTCTTTGTTTTTAGTATTTCCATTTTGTTTAATTCTGAGACCCTGACGTACAGTGTATTTTCTAAAATAACAAATTGAAAGTATTTTCTTTAATGAATATAAAAATTAATTTCCTATTAGGCCTGTAAGAAAATTTCAATGTTGCCCTTAACACATCTTTGCACTTCATATTTCAGTAAAAACTAAGGAATGTAATTTTATAAAATTTAAATCATTGTTGATTTTCTGCTTTAAAAAGCTAAGACTTTTTTGTAATTTTCAACTTGTTTCAGCTTGTTTCATGAATGAAATATATGGAGATAAGGAACAGCATTTAAGCTCAAAAAACCATTAAACAATAAAAAATAGGAGCAGAGCAAAACGGATCTCCAAAACATCCGAGGTGGGATCAGGTGCCATGGTGGAGTGAGCATACCCTGCCGATCAGTCACAACCGCCGTGTTCTCCTTTTCATAATATGGAAATAACGGAAATTCCGTGGACAATTCAGTATATAAAAAATGGCCTCACAATTAGTATGAAAAACGTCACTCACTATTTGCTGACAAGATTACTGACTCATTGTATTGTCTACAGAAATTACGAAACGATGACTTTGAACGAGACTGCTGATATTTTTGTTGACGATTGAAAAGTTTAAAAGTCATCGCATTAGATTAATTACCATTAACGTCCTTAAACTCCAATTTAGGTTAAATATCTAAAAATGAAATAGATGAGTGTGGTTTCTTTTTTTCAAGCTCACCGGGATATATAGTATCGATATAAGATTATACATCGTCGATATACATTGTATATATAAAAAAAAATTGGAGTTGAAAGCCACAGTAAGTGTTTTCTTCTTTTCACGTATTAGATTTTGGACAAATTGCACTTCATATGAATACAAAATATAGGTCTGCTTATAAGGGTGCAATTGGAATCCACGAAAATTCCAATCGATTGTTGGAAGACCTGGCCTCCAAAAACCACATAGATATTGTCATTTAGACTCTCAAGCATCTTTTTAATGTCAACTTCTGTACTTGTGTGTACAATCAGAATTTTTTTTAACAAAATATTTCTGGAAATGACTAATGACAAGGTAAGTAAATTTACGAGTTCCATTTTTATTGAAAAAGCACCCGTCAATGATATGAAAAAGTGGTTTTATATCGAAAAGGGAGATAACTTGCAAAGGTTGACAAAATTATCTTTGGCAAATCAGCCCTTTCTTGAGATCAAGAGAAAAACTGGTATGATTATCAAGCTCAAGGCTGTTTCAATTAATCTTCAAATAATGTGGAAAGCAGACATAAGAATACCATACGCACTATTTTTCACTTTTGAATCTATGTGTGGAATGGAACAGAAATTCATTTAAGCGCAAGTTATGTTTAAATTGGTCTGAAATTATAAAAAAGTAATGGGAATTTGGGTTTAAAAATCGTCGTTTAGCTATGTCATTCAATCAATTCAATTGATCCTACAGAGTACTTACTGACGTTTATGGTGACGCTATCACTCTGAGCAGACGACAGTTCAGTACCAAGGCCTACGTCGTAAGAGATGTCACATCGAAACTCGGCAAAGTTGTCATGCCACTGCACAGTATAAGAAAAGGCATGTGTCAGATCAAACGTGCCGTTCTCAAATTGCGGTAATATATCGGGAGTGGTCGTAGACATGATAGGGTGAAATGTCCTGTTGCTGGTGCCGTTGTATACATCCCGGCGTAAGAGATGGACGATAGGGCGCGGTCTCCCTGTGTTTCCCTTGCAGGTGAATTGTATGGTCATCCTTTCTTGAACGTCCGGTGCACTGGCAGCCAGTTGTAGTTTATCTGGGGAAGCTGATAGCAATAGATAGAACTGATCACAAATATTGTGTGTAATAAACTTATAAAAATTGTTTTTACCAAGACCTGTTAACTTTTGAAAAATAAGCCTTCAAATAATTTCATATGAAATGAATTTCTTTTTTGGCTTAACTTAATTTTTTTTTTGAAAAGGTCATCTGCGAGAGTTCGAAACACTTATAAACAGTTTTTTTTAAAACTAGAATTGTAATAACTGAGTGTTTAGTGTGTTAAGCATTAGTTATTACCAATAGTCCTTATGAGCAAAGTATCCTCTCCCATGCCATCTGACCCTTCAACTTTGACCCTGTAGTCTCCATCATGGATCTGGAAGTTCACGATGTATATCATTATGTTCACTTTTCTTGTGCTGCCATCTATCGCACTCACCTGCACATTAGCGTCCATTGTCCATGAAGAGTTCGTGGTGATGTTTGTATCGACGATTTTGATGACTTCATACATCCCATTTAGACTAGTGACGGTAAATTCAGAGGAATTATCTTGTGTCGTGTAGGTTAAGAAGAAGCTGACCTGTTCTCCTAGCTTGGCCTCGACCACTTTAGGGGTTGTTACAAATGTTGTTTCTAAAAATGTATTTTAGAAGTTTGAAATTTGAAAAAAAAATTCATCAGCTTGGCAAACACGTACATGTACAGCGGCCAACAAAGGTTTGTATATTATAGAAAACAACTTATAAAAAAACTAGAAAAATGTTTTTATAGGTTCTCGGACAGAATACATGAGACACTACAAATAATTGTCCCCCGCTTTCGCGAAAGCGAGGGGACATTAGATCTCAATCGTCTGTCCGTCTGTCAGTCTGTCCGTCCCAAAAACTTTAACCTTACACATAACTTTTGATTTTGTGGAGCTATGACTTTCATATTTCACATGTGTATTCCTTGTGATAAGACTTTTCTTTGGGTACCACCAAATTTGACCTTCTGGTCTTGACCTTGGAGTTTGACCCACTTTTACACAAAAATTCCTAACTTTTACTTTGGCCATAACTTTTGAATGGTAGATACTAGGACTTTCATATTTCACATATATATTCTTTGTGACAAAACCTTTCATTAGATACCAACAACTTTGACCTTTTGACCTTGACCTTGGAGATTTCCGTACATATGAAAAAACTTTAACCTTGACCATAACTTTTGAACGGTAAGGGCTAGGGCTTTCATACGTCATGTATGTAATTCTTGTGAGAAGACCTTTCATTGGATACCGAGAACTTTGACCCTTTGACCTTGGAGTTTGACCTACTTTTCAAAAACTTTGACCTTGACCACAACTTTTAAACAGTAGATACTAGGACTTTCATATTTCATATATGTATTCTTTGTGGCAAGACCTTTCATTTGATATCAAATACCTTGACTTTTTGACCTTTTACCTTGGGTATTTTTCGTACTTATAAAAAACTTTAACCTTGTCCATAACTTTTGAATGGTAAGGGCTAGGGCTTTCATACTTCACATATGTAATCCTTGTGAGAGGACTTTTTATTGGATACCAAGAACTTTAACCGTTTGACCTTGACCTTGGAGTTCAGTGATGATTTCTAACTAAATGACATACGATAGGGTGTTCATATTACACACTAATATGTCATAAAAAATGACATCTCACCCACAAAGACACCGAAAGCAGGGGACCACTATTCCTTGAATTTGCTTGTTTTGCATATATTTGTTTTTGTCGTATCAAAATTTACATGTATACCGTGAAAGTGTGATAGCTTTTTGGATTACTGTTGGGGTTGAGCTGCACCAAAGATCTAAAAATTGGGGGGTATAATAACTAAAATACAAAATGAATGGAAATAAAAAATAAATGAGCCACCTTCACCGCTTTAAATAAAGTTTTAGACTAGAACTGCTATGACATAGAGATTTACCTTCATATTAATATCATAATTCATCAGAAAAATTTCTTATTATCCGTCAGTATTGATAATAGATCGCATCTTGTGTATTGTTACACACTTCCGGTTTCATCAACCAGACGACCACTGTGTACGCACAGGAGTTCGCGTACCTATCAATTTAGCTGCAGATCTGTAGCTCTCCAAAGAAAATAAATATTGATAGATCTCCAGACTATCAATATATATTTTTATCGGAGAGCTACAGATCTGCAGCTGCTATCAATCATACCGAAATTTTCATTAAATAAAAAAAATACGTAATACGTATAATAATAACACATAGGTATTACGTATGTTTTTATTTACCGAAAATTTCGGCAAAATTGATAGGTACGCGAACTCCTGTGGTGTACGTTATCTTCACCTTTGCACTGTAACAAGCAACACCACAGGCACCTGAAGTTTGAATTGTGTAACTCCCATCCCAATCCATTCTACATTTTCAAATCTATTTTGTTTTAGAAACGACCACTCTGGCCGCTACATTTTTTTGTATATAAGCTGAAGGGCTATTTATTGACTCTAAAACGAATTCAGAAGGTGTGTGCGTGGGGGGGGGGGGGTCATCCTTACGATAAGGCCTGTGATAATACTGATTGCATTTTATGTATTTTTCGAAGGAATTTTCATTTTGGCTTTCCAATGACAGAGGGATTTTCCTTCGTTTTTTGGTCTGATATGTAGGCTACCTTTTTAAGGGAATTGAAGTGTTTCTCTCAATAAAGCAGTTTCTCTGAGGGCATTACTAGAGCAATACGTGTGCAACACTTGCTTCAACGATTTTTAACGAGGCGTAAATTCTTTTTTTTTCCCTTTTAACAATCGTGTATCTAGGAATTCTGCAAAATCGTAAAGTGTTAGCATTATTATGACTATATACTGTAGTCAGTTACTTGGAGGACCAAACGTGCCCTCCTTTTCACCCTTATTTCAAATATGCTTTATTTCCCAAGCTTTCATGATAAAATAATTGTTAAATGGACTTAGACTGTGTTTCTAAAGACTTTTCCTGTTATTACAACCTATATCGGAGGAAACTGTAGATTCAGCGTGTTTAAGAAGGATATTGATTTTATCCTATTAGCAGGACAACTGTGTGCGGTACTAAATAAATCTATCATGTTGTACGTGTACTATAGATTGATGATAAATACACAACACACTGTCACTTGAAGTTTTTAACCTTTCTTTTCATAAATAAACAATTCCCCATACTATGATTACAGTATATATTGCAGGATTTTTTATATAAAGAATACTAAGTGAAAAACGTCAAATGGCTGTGACACAGCATAATAATTTTTCAGATTTAATGCGCCGAGAATAATTTTGTTTGAGTGAATCTATAAGATATGCCCAAAATCTGCTTTTTAGAACTGAAGTGTGCTTTAAATTTTGCAGTGATGTCTAATGTAAATAACTGCTTAAAATATTGTAAATTAAAAAAAAAAATAGATAAGATGATTGACAAATGTGACAAGGGGATAAGAAAACAAGCCTAATTCTTAGCGTGTATACATAACTCTAGGACCCAACCCAATGTTGCATGTTTCCCATGATAACAATGGTTAAGCTCTCAGCATTGTGATAGATTACAAGTCAAAATTGACAGGCAATGTACAAAATAGCTAAATTAGAGGAATGTTGAAGGACAAAATTTCAACAAGCAACATGAAGACCCTGGTCGTGGAGAAATAAAGTTTTGTAGTAAAATTAGAATTCTACATTAGTTTATCGTGTAGAATCATGTCAAAGTTGACAATCAGCAGGCTATTTTTTTTTAAAAAGAAAAACGTTCGTTAGAAAATAAAATTAATCTGAAAACACTCTTGTTGACTTATTCGCCATTAATGTTAATTTAACCCGAAAGATAAATGTTTTTGGTTTTACGAGATCGTTTATCTGTTAATGGAGTTATGACCTTAAGTAAAGTACATAGAAAGTGATAAGGACATTGCAATTCGCTCCATCCTGTGTAAAAGCTGTATATTTCATCTAAACCACTTCAAGGCTTTGTTTATTTTATAATTTTTTTTAAAATTTGACGTACCTGTTTGAGAAAAAGTTTTTCCAGAAAATAATAAAAACAACACAATATAAATCCAATACCCCTCCATATTACGTGTAGTTGAATAGTTCAGTACTAAGATGATGCGCTCGGATCTTTGTTGTAGCGGATTTTGAGTCATTGAGCGACAATTACACGATTCCTGAGGTCATAAATTCTGATGGACCGGGGTCACGCCACTACGCCCTCTATACTGAGTATTTATCTGTGTATTGAATTGAAAACTAAAGAAAAAAAAGTCCCCTGGGTCTCGTTTTCATTATTGCACTTGAGTAACAATGCTGTTTTTAATTTAACAAAGATCATATCTTGATAAGAGAATGGAAAAGCAGTGGTTGAATGTATCTTTTTACACGGTTACTCGTAAACTGAAAAAAAAAGAAATGAAAGGAATTTCTTTCTGGGGGGTTTTTATACTTCCCTTTTTTACAATATGTGTCGTTGATGCATTTTTGGCATGTTAATTTTTTTTCTTCTGTCTTGCATGATCTCTTTCGATTTTCGTTTGGCGTTGATGAATTCAAAACTTGCGTGGAACATTTTATTATGTATGCACACAAAGATTTTGACAACACTTTACATAGAATTTCTTAATTGAATTAGATTTCCTCTAGGAGCCTTGCAGAGGCTACTCCACAACGCGGAAATGACTGGTCCTACATGTAACTTCGCAAACGACACATCAATAAAATTAAAGATTTTAATGGATTGATAGATAATTCTCACAAAATAAACGATGTAGTTACAGTGAGACCAAGTCGTAAAACTGATCGAACTGTGTAATTTAAACATCGACCTTACTTTATTGTCACACAAGTTCAACACAGCCAGTCCGCTTTAATCAACAATCTGTGGTAGATAAACTGAGAGGTTGAATTTACAATTTAACAAGACATACGCGACATTCTTCACATCGAGAGAGATTTGTGCATGTTTAGAACATCTTATTGTCGATAATAATGGAGTTCGATATGCTTCAACTGGATAGAAATTAACTTAATTTTTTAATTATAAGCTAAAACATAAATTAATACTTCAAAAAGTCACTATAAACAATGCTTGTGACTCAAATGAAGCTGAACTTTTATTTTACTTAATTATGTTAATAATAACAGAAATTGTAAATGCTTATATATTGTCAATATTAGTTTAAAAGAGAAACTGAATACTCATTATCCAAATATAGAATACATGTATATGAAAGTTGTTTTAAAAGAGGATTCAGCTATTGCAGAATAGTTTTTGAAAGAATATGATGGATTTAACATCGATTTGACCACGCCCCTTTACAAACGCCATTCTGCTTTTAACATTTCTAAATGAATATGGACTATCAAAACAACGTTTTGATAACAAAGCTTGTACCCAGCATTTTGATGACCCCCCCCCCCATCCCATCATATGATCAGATATATAATAATTGTTACGAGACTGGCTGATAAGTATATCTACACATGTATACTCTGACTTCATTTGCTAGTGTCTCTAGTTTCCGGGATTATGATGTTCTGAATCAAAGTTTGCGGAAGCGGAGAGAATACGAAAGAGGAAATAGATATTGCACAGTTATATGCTAGTTTGCGTAAGTCTGCAAATAGAGAATCACTAAAAAATGTTTTTGTGTCATCATCAAATCACTTAAATGATAGTGGGGATCAAAATTCCATATCATGTCAATTTAGTGAATGTCTTGTCTTATAGAAGCATGGGTCCGTGTCTGTTTTACCCGCCAAAACAGCTTAATCTTGCTGCACTTTTTTTTTCCAAGAGCAAACAAAAATAACGAACAACATACATGTATAAGCATCTCCAATGCAAGAAACCAGTTTCGTCACAAAATGACTTTGAGACAAGTTCCTTAGCTAAAAGGTAATTGGAAATCATTTCAGAAAGAAGGGTTTTTCCTGAATGTAGATCAATGTTCTAGTTATTTCCCAAAGTAAAGGTTGTGCATTTAATATAGATTTTGTTATTATAATATTATTTATTTCTTATTTTTGCTGCTATTAACATTGAGACTTAAATATTCATTAATGAAAAGTATAGCACAGTTGTTATTTACAATATCTCAAACTGACAAACATCAGAGATATATAGGTATACAAACCTTACGGTCTACAAGTACAATTATTTTTACAAGATAACAGGATTCTTTGGTTTTATTTCTAAATGTTTGCTTTGTCATATTGTAAATATTGACGGGTGGTAGTAAAAACAAAATTTACGATTATTAGTCGTATTTGTTGTTTGGTTTATTGCCGCTTAATATAAATTCTTGATTAATAGATTGTTGTTCACTTAGATTTTGGGGGAAAAGAAAATTTGCATGCACTATTTCTGCAAGATACTTGAATTTAAACAATGAGATATATGTAGTTTGTTCCTGTAATGTAGATTTTACTACGTTTGCTGAAAAGTAAAAAGTTTACAAAAGGATTGATTGAATTTTGTTTTCATTCCGTTTTAGAACTTTTCATTCACTGAAAGAAATACCTAGTGAATTTAACTAGTGTGCCTCGTTACGCATTCGTCGTCATTATAGTAATCATTCTGTTTTCTAGCTAAGATAGTGAGTAGTAGGTGAATTCCTACTAACCTAGTGAAAGTTACATATAAATTCTAAATTTACTAATGTTATTTAGTAAATCTACTCAATACCTAGTAAAACAACTTTTAAGGTTGTGATTGAATGGACAGTAAATTTAATAGTCTTAGTGTTTTCTACTAGTTATTTTTTACAGTGTACATTTAGAGACCTCATCGTATTCCGGTGAAGGTCTTAAAATTAATACCGGGGCCCCATCCGAAGAACCCGAAACTTTGGCATCAAAGTGCCCGACCATACGTTCTACCCATTTTTAGCTCTACTGGTCAGAGACCAGAAGAGCTTATGCGATAGTAATGCGTCCGTCGTCCGTCCGTCCGTCCGTCTGTCTGTCTGTCTGTAAACAATTTTTCAAAATGCTACTCCTCCTACAGTTTTGGTCTGATTTCAATATAACTTGGCACACAATTAGATTACACCAAGATACATAACTCTGTGTATCGGTTTTTGATTTCGAAGAACGGTGTTGCCGTGGTTACTAAAAATAGAAATTTCTGTGAAATTCTTTCAAAATGCTACTCCTCCTACAGTTTTGGTCTGATTTCAATATAACATGGCACACAAGTAGACTACACCAAGATACATTATTCTGTATATCGGTTTTTGATTTGATGAACGGTGTTGCCGTGGTTACTAAAAACAGAAATTTCTATAAAATTGTTTCAAAATGCTACTCCTCTTACAGTTTTGGTCTGATTTCAATATAACTTGGCACACAAGTAGATTACACTAAGATACATAATTCTGTATATGGGTTTTTGATTTTGGTGAAAGATGTTGCCGTGTTTACTAAAAATAGTAATTTCTGTGAAATTGTTTCAAAATACTACTCCTCCTACAGTTTTGGTCTTATTTCAATATAACTTGGCACACAAGTAGACTACACTAAGATACATATTTTACAATGCGTTCGCGAAAATCTAATTTCGCGTATCAAAGTATTCCTTACGATTATATAGAGGAATAACAACTATTCGTGAAAATTATGTCTCGCTTACAAAGCTTCAATGACCCCCGAAAATTTAGTGATCCACAGTACATAATTCTGTATATCGGTTTTTGATTTCAATGAACGGTGTTGCTGTGGTTACAAAAAATAGAAATTTCTTGAAATTCTTTCAAAAATCACCTCCAACAGTTTTGGTCCAATTTCAATAAAATTTGGCACACAAGTAGACTACACTAAGGTACATAATTCTGTTTATCAGTTTTTCACTTCAATGAACAGTGTTGCCACGGTTACTAAAAATAGAAATTTCTGTTAAATACTCTCAAAATGCTACTCCAAATACAGTTTTAGTCTGATTATAATATAATGTGGCATGGAAGTAGACTACACTAAGAGCATAAAGAGACTTAATCAAGGATCATTATTCTATTTATTGCTGTTGAAAAGTTTCAAAATAAGTACTTTTCTCTTCCTTTGCTATAAGTACAAACCAGAAGAGCTTCAGTCTCTAAAGAGACTTCTGGTTTAAATCGACTTTGGTCAGTCACAGCCGTGACTCGAACACATGGAGCATATAAAGCTCTCGACAGCCTCGCGCTATACTAAGTACTAGTACTATAGAATATAAATGTTTCTACGTTTGAATTAATATTTTTATGTCCAAGGTACATGTATGCCACACATTTTTTCATTTTCTCTTAAAAAAAATACCCCCCCCCCCCCCAAAAAAAAAAAAAAAAAAATCATAAAAAATAATTAAAAGCTAATAATGGTTTTTCTTTACTGAAACCATTGTTAAAAAGGATGACTTAAAGATCTATAAAATGCAAGTTTGGTGTAGCATTCCTCCTTAATTGACGACGAGAATAAAAAGTAAAAGTGTATTTTTACTATTTTATTTTAAAATATTTATTAGTGGTCAGAATACATTAAAAAGTAAAGTTGAAAATGTTGATAATTTTTTTGATATTGTTATCGGTTATATTTTTATATATAAAAAATTAAATCTTTAAAAATAAGTTTCCTTTAAGAGTTTACTCCCTTTGAATACTTTACTATTAATAACAACGGCCAAATGTAAATGGGGAAATAAAAAAAAAAAAATGGTAGAAGGCATTCTTTTAAAAAAAAAAAAAAAACAGAAAAAAGAATTAATAAAGTATTTTACTTAATCAATTTCTGTGAAATTTATTAAGATTCAATTTACTATCTTTTGCCCTTTCAACGAACGGGTAAAACTGTGCAGCTATTACAATATGAATTTTATGACATTTAAATCATTATAAATAAACATGTTTTCAAGTTATTCAAGAAGAGGGGTGAGGAATAATAAAGTTAAATTAATTTATTTTCAGAATATATCACCAGCTACACAAGGTCCCCTCCCCTTTCTTTTTCTCTTCAAGACTTGCTGGTCAACATTCATATTCAGAAGATAATTCGTTCTTTCATCCTATTTAGAGATTACCTGCTAGAATGAAGTCCCTCGGCAAGGAGGAGTATATACTACATGTATATAGTATTAATTCTAAAGTTTTTCCTCCCCAGGTTGGGGGAGGGATTTACTGAAATTCAAACCTGTTACTTTTTATCAAAGGTACTAATATAAAAGTTTTAGCACAATTATCAATAAAGAAAAAAAATTAATCTTCATCATTGTTATCATAAACAATATAATTATCTTCGTCATTTTCATACGATCATAAGAAAATAACTACGAGTGAGTAAATTAAATAGCAATTAATCACCAAAGTTTATTTTTACCGATATTCATATGGTTGTAGTAAAGATTATTTTTTTCGATGAAAAATCAAAAGCGGAACTATTTTAGGAATTACATTGTTCATGTCATAATTTGTTTCAGTAAACACTCCTAATTAAGATATCTGTAAACACAAAATGAGAAATGTAAAATTTCACTAGCACAGCTATTTTCCCCGACCACGAAATGGGATCCTCCACACAACCTTGAAAATTTGACCTCACGAAAATATTTGAATTCTTTTTGTTATTATTTCACATGGACATGGAAATTAGACCTTCGTCAGAGAGAGTGTACATTTTCTACACGTATAACCAGTTTGAAAAACACTTCATTTGGAATTTTATTAGTCTTATCTTAAAACACAGTACAAGTCATTCTAACATTATGCTATATTGACGAATGTTTAATGAAAAATGCACACATTCAAACAACGGGGAAACAGTACAAATAAAACAAAATGATATACCAATAATATAACAAAACTATTGTTTATTTTAATAAACATTATACCCAATTCCCAAAAGGTGAATCACAGTTTCCTAACTCTGTCTATCACCAGGATTTTTTTTTTCGAAAATGTCATGGAGCAAAGAAGGCACTGAGACTTGATTTAACGTTTTCATTGTTTGCTCCATTAAATGTTGGTTGAACATAGCGCCGATTATTTGAAGTTAGTTTTTGATGGCTTACTTCAAACTGCCTGGCCTTTCCATTCTTTATACTCTGCTCATGAACAGCGTTATTTAAAGCATCAACCTCTGATAATGGCTCTGGCGATTTCTCCTCGAGTTGTCCATTTTCTACTCCGAGAATTTTTTCTAAGCGCCTTTTCTTGTGGTCCGGTAGATCCCCGACAGGAAGCTGTCTTAGAAGCGCTAAGAGCTGTGAGCTTATAGCGTAACTTTCTGTTCCTGTGGAGAAGAACGCAACTTTCGTCGTTTCGATAGATTTTTGAGTAACAGACAAAGGCGGACGAGCAGTCAAAGTCATCTGAGGACTATGTATGTGCGTCGGTGGTGTAACTGCTTGTATGGGTTGTTGCAGGGTTGACTCAACTGTTCTGTGATCATGGTGCTGAGTTTTTACAACGGATCTATGGCCCTGTTGGTGCTGGTGATGTTGTTGATAGCGTATATCCGGTTTTGTTTGCTGGCGCAAAGATGTCTGGATTTTATTTACTGCACCATATCTTGGTGGTTTTAGAGGTTGTGGTGTCACCCATCCAGATTGTCTTCCACTATTGATTTTATTTTCAATAATATGTTGTATTTTGGTGTCTTTTAGATTCACGGAGGTCCTATGCTTGGTGTGACTATCCGGTCTGGAGGTGGGCCTAATGATTTGCCGTGAGTGTTTTGCTTCTGAATCCAATGGCCCTGAGATAGCATATCCTAGCAAACCAGCTGGCATGGAGAGTTTATTTTGATAATCCTTCCTAGCATTCAGTGGTTTGGATACCACGGGCTTGGTTATTTGATTTTGATAATCCTTTTTGACATTCAGGGGTTTGGATGCCACAGGCTTGGTTAATTGATAATCCATTTTGGCATTCTGTGGTTTGGATGCCAAGATTTTGTTCGACCATTGTTTGGAGTTATCTATTGTCTTTAATAATTTTTGATCGTTCCAGGATTTGGAGTGATTTATTGTGTTCTCAATAGTGTTTGGAGAAGTTTTAGTTGAAGGACGCTGCCCTGAAAGTTGTTCGAAACGAGCAATTTTATATGTTGACTGCTTTCCAGCTGATGGGATTGAACGATCCACTTGATTTGGATGTCTTTGAAGCTGGTTGTGATCACTGAAGGATACTCCATTTTGGCTTTCAATGACAAACTGCTTTTTGTAATGCCCTATCTTTCCTGACATGTGGCTAGGAAGAGAACTTTTGTGTTGCCAGTTTGGTGTTGCTGGAGTATAAACAACTATGCGGCTACTTGGTGTGGTTGTTGCAGTGTGACTGACTGATGAATGCCCAGTATGAGGCGGATGAGTGTATTTTGTTGTGAATTTATCATTGATATCAAAATTATGTCCCACGGTTTGGTAGGCCAATGTGCTCTTTCTTGGATTAAAAGAGGTGAGTGATGAACTGCGATAAACATAATCTCGAGATGGGGGTTTCGAAAATTTATTTTCTGATTTCAAATCAGTAAGAGAGTTTTTCAAAGGTAGATATTTTATTCGTGTATTGCTTGAATGTTGATGATGAGTATTTATATTTTTTGTGTATTGGTGTTTAGTGAGAGTATTTTTCACTGATGGCTGTTTTGAAAGGGAAGTTTGCATGGGTTGACGTTGACTAAGAGATGTTAGTTTACTATGAGTTTGATGAGTTGAAGAATGTTGAGCTGCTTTGTTGGTTTCCTGGTGAACTGGAACCCCGAGAGTAGGTTTAATGGTGGGTTTCACAGAATGTGGCACTGTTGTCTTTGGAGAGTGAGTGTGACTACTTAAAGATATTCCAGACAAAGAAAATGTATATGGTCTTTGGCTGCTTTGAGAAGTTTTTAAGTGATGTGAATGAGAAACGCTTGCACTGGTTTTTGGATTAACAGGTTTAATGGAAACGTGACGATGGTAATCCTTCTCTTGAATTTGGTTAGTCAATGTGTTATCAAACCGTTGTTTGTTTTGCTTATCTACGATTTCACTTTTCTTCTCTTTATGAGTGCTCCGTCCAATGAAATCATTCTTTTCAGGAATTTCTAGCACGACGCTATTTTCCACGGTATTGTCTGTCAATTTTACAGGAGCCATCGACATTGATATATCAGGACCTCCACTGAAGCCACTGTCCGGAGCTTCATTTGCAGCCAGGATAAAATTTGTCAAAGACAGCGGGTCTATTTCCTCAAAAACGATACCATTATTAGAACTTTTTTGACCCACAAATGACGTAGCACTTAGTGCCGGTCCCGCCTTGTCTTTTCCAGCTTCTTTCCTCAACACACTATTTGGAGCTGCGGAAATCAAACCAGAGTAACCTGTTTTCACAGGTGAAACATTTGTTGGCTTCGCTTCTATATTATTCATGAACATTGATGCAGGACTGTTAAGGGAAAATGCAAACTTGACTAACGAAGTCGAGTCTTTCATTTGTTTGTGATGCAGAGGAGATAAAGACAAGGTACTACCTGTAAGTTTTGGTGCATGGGACACATCATTATGTTGACTCATTGTAGCTGAAGTCAGTTTATTTTCTGTATATTGAGATTTCGATTGTGCTACTGTTTTACTACTGCTTTGATGAGTTTCAGAGTTTGACTTTTTGGTTGCATCACTCTTGGAGCTTAAGGAAATGGTTTTGTATTCAACGCTTTTGGTGTTTTTGTATGGTTTCATATCTGGCTTGGCTTTTGTTAAGAATCCTGTTTGTGAACCTTGTTTCGGACTTTTTTGTGGCCCAAAGTTTAATTGACTAGATGTGAGACCCATGCCTTTGTTTTGTTTGATATTGCGAACCGTTGGCACAGTTGGAGTAGGGGCACGAATAGGTAATATAACGATCCGTCGAACTGTTCGATAATTTGGTCGCTGGGGTTTTGGAGGTCCTGAAATAGTTATGTGAATCATAAAATTCATGAATAGAAAACAAAAGAATTCATGTAAGTTTTGATTTTTTTTAATAACATAGGTCAAAAATAATGAATATAAACACAAATCGCTTTTACATCATTAATAAAATAGATTCTGATTTCAAAATACAATACTGAATTATATATCATTATGTTGTCATTTACAGTTCATTTACATAATCCTTTTGAACTTCTTTCACAGTTTTTACATAACAAAAATATATCAAATAAAAATGCATGTTGTGGATATTAATAAGCTTCCACCCATTCTTTCTGACATGCGATGCCCAAGACGGAGGTAAACAGCTGGATGTTTTGAGGATTTGTAACACTTTCCCTTGAAGACGAATCATTTATAACCAGAACACCGATTAATAAAGGCTTCACCACCGAATTAAAGATTGTCGAGCTGCTCTAGTGTCTTAAATAGATTAGATAACACAGAATAAGCACACACACAAGTGTTACAACTGCCTACAAATGCAGTTTCAGTGATTAATTGCGCGCATGCGGGCTGCTGGTGACAAAGTGCGTGCGCGGCTATCGTCAGTAATAGTCATGTGATTTGATACCTAATGACAAGGAATTATCCATATATGATGAATCTATGGTCTTCTCATTTCTGATTCGTCGTTGTGAATTATGTTGATGCGCAAGTGATCCTCCAGAGACATCTTTTCTAACCGAAATTCGAACCCCATGACTGTTAGATGTCCTTAGTTTCACAGGTGCTGTCTCCACAAAATTTCTTTTTGTAGGAAGACCAGATGGTGTCCGTTTTGCAGCATATGAAGATTTTCTTTCTGATCCATTCAGGTGAAAAGGTGTATGGTGTGGATTATTTCGGAAAGCAGTACTTAGTGAATTACCAGCAAACAGTTGTTGTTGTTGAAAGGTGTTCCTTGGTGCAAATATTTGATTTACTACCGCTGCAATATTTTGCATTTGGGGCTGAGGGGTGTAATAGACAGGTTTTCTAAAGAATCTTTCTAGTTTTGTCATACCTCTATCGTGTAATGTGTTAGGATGAACAGGGCCTAATGACAAAGAACCTGGGTTAGCAATATCCATTCTGCTTCGTCCAGGATGTGAGTGTGACACAGAGGGAGATCCCAACCCACCAAACAAATCTACAGGGTTACTTCGCTTTTTGTCATATGATAAAGAATGAAGGGGCATATCTATATATATTTGATTATTTGTGTGTGGCATATTGTTTCCTGGGATCATATGGCCACTTAATAGGCTCCTTTTTCGTCGATGCGCCCTAGAAGTCCTTAATGGATTTGTTAGTGATGGTTTAGCACTATCGCCCCAGAAAACTACGGTATTTTGTGAAAGTGAAGGTGATTGTTGTGATCTAGAAGGAGGCCTGGGATTGGAAATCGAGGATCTAGAATTTGGAAGCAAATCAGAAAGCCTCCTGTCACTCACTCTTCCAGTTGCGATTAGCTGCTGTCGCAATCTCCTGATTTCCAAAAGTTTTCTTAGAATAGCACCTTTATCTAAACTCATGCCTCCCATCTTATTAAAATCCGTTTCCGGTCGTTTGGGTCGAGACACAACAAATGTTGAAGAAGCCTTTTGATTTACATTCCTATTCAAAGGTTGAGCAACATTTGTCCTTGAAATTTGAAATTTAGGCAATGATTTGGTCGGGGTGTTTAGTTCTTCTGTCTTGAGATTTGACTGTTTTTGAGAGAAAGACCCTATTTGCTGTGACTTAACAATTGATGGCTGATTGTTAGGATGCAGTTGAAGAGGAGGTACATTAGAAGTGTGTTCATTCTTTGATACAATTCTATTTATGTTTTTATCATTAAAAGAACTTTTTATGTCTACAATATTGGTTGGTGCGATTGATAAATTATTGATGTCTCCAGTACTGGCCTTTTTAATTTCCTTTTGCTGTCTCAGCGCCGGAGCAGAATTTGAAAAGACTACTGCACTATCTTGACCTTGAATTAATTTTGAAGATGCATGGGGGATTTCCTGTACTGTATTATCAATACTTGTTTGTAATGCCTGTTGGACATTTCCAATGGTTTTAGAATCAGAAAATGGTGATTCAATGACCACACCTGGAAGAGAGAGTTTAATGTTCGGGTTCTCTTTAACTAAAGTTGGAACTCTCTCACTTACTGGGGGTTGGGGTGGTGTAATAAACTGATTTTCCTCTACGTTATTTGTTTTAGATTGTTCGTTTGTTTTTGTAACTCTTGAATCAAATGATAGTGGTGGTGGGGGAGGCGGTGGAACAAACTGGTTTTTACCACCATGATGTACTTCAATGTTTGAAGCTGATTGTGTGTTTGTATCAGAAACACTTGTTAATGCTGTCTTCTCCAAGTCGGGAAGGGATTTTGATAAAGGCTTATCAAAGATGTTTTTTGCCGAAGGCTTAAAAACGTTGACTGTATTTGACGAAAGCTCTTGAGAAGCTGAAAGTAGATGACCTTGGTTATTTTCTTGTTTTTTATCGAAGGAAATGTCCTTATTTAGGGGAATAACTGTGTTATCTGTGTTTGTGTGTGTGTTTATTTGATTGAATACAGATATATCACTAGCTTTTGGAACAGATTCATCAACACTGGGTCCCTGCTTTTGCGTTAATTCTTTGATTGAATTACTTTCAATTGAGGTAGTGTCAATTGGTGTTTTATTTACACCTTTGAAAAACGTGTTTTTGGTTTCATGTTGAAATAGTGGGATGACGTTGTTGTCTGTAATTGAATTGTGTTTCTGAGATTCATTTTGAAGTTGATCAGTTTGTTTTGAAGGAATGCTTTTGTAGGGAGACTCATCCAGATTGGCTTCAACAGCATTATTTATATCTGAGTGACCATTAATGGATGTATCAAGGTTATTTGATGATACTTTGGTTACTTCCGGTATTGTATTTAGTTCAGATCTTACTGACGCGACAGGAACATAGGGATCGTTAGATATTTGTTCGTCAAAAATTTGTACAGCGGCTGGTGTAGTAGTATAAACTGATTGTTTCAAAACAGATTCAGTAACTTTATTTTCGACTTCCGGTATAGGAATACCGGGGAGGGTCTTTGGAGTTTCTAAACTTATGGGAACACCACCAGGTGAAACCCAGTTTGTTACTTCTACGTTATTTTCTACATGTGGAATGTCTGTGCTTTCTTCAACTATCTGTGCATTTTCTGTTTGTGATATTTTATCTTTCTTTCTTTCAAATGTTTGTTTTTCTTTCAAAGAGGGATCTTCAATGGTCGGGGGCAAGAATGTTGCATAAATATGCTTAGGAGCCTCTTTAATCATGCTGTCAAGCGCATTTGTTTGTGATTCCTTTACTGCTTTTGACTCAAGTGCTTGTTTAAAGTCTGCGTTGCCTGTCTCAATATCTGACTTTTTAGTGTTAATAGCTTCTGTTTTAGTATCTGTATTCGTAATTTCCGAATTTAGTTTTGAAATTTCCTTTGTGTTCTGTTCTTGGATGTCTTTAACCGGTTGTGAAGAAAGTGGAAATGTTATTGTAGCATTTGATTTAAAAGAATTATGGAAAGAGGAACTTTTCATTTCACTATTTTCAACAACTGTTTGCTCAGGTTTAATAAAGGATGCTTTTGGGCTTGTTTTGAAATGACTTTTCGCCTGTGGTGAATCAGAAATATATGTATCTGGAATAAATTAAAAGCATCTTAGAAACATTCTTATAAGTAACATGATTACCATATTAAGAGGACAAATTATCTCAGAAAAAGTATTTAAGATGTGCTTATAGTTCCAATCTTCAGTATTAAATTCATATGCCATTTTGCTTAAATATTTGATTTACCTTTGCTGTTTTCTAATATATAGTGGCTGCCATCCTTTGGTTTCTTTTCAATTTTCTGCTTAATAACATCATTTTCCATCATATTAGGATTAGCAAGTTCCGCAGTGGAAGACAGCGGAATGTTTCTTTGCAGAGACTTGGTTCCAACTTGATCAATCGGTACATTGTGAAATCCGGAAGAAACTGAGTATTGTACTTTAGTTTCCACATGCGGTTGCACTTGCTTTGCTTTCATAGCATTTTTATATCTCCTGACCCATTTTATGAGAAGGTTTTTTGCTTTCGATGATACTTGTAACTTTTTACTTCCAGATCTAGATGCAAGCCGTTGAATCACCATGATAATCTTTTTCACACGACTAGATTCATCTTGTGTCATTTCAACCGATGGAATTACTGATGGAGCTACGGGTGGTGACAAATTTGATATTCCCGTATTGACAGGTGCACTGTTATAATTGTTTGTGTGTAAAACACTTTGCGTTTTGTCTGTGTTAAGAGAGTGGCCATGTAAATTAAGTTTGGGTGAAGAAAGACCCGCTGGATTTGTAGGTTTTACTGAAACCTGTGCTTCTGCTACTACTGAAGATTGTTGGAAATTTGGTGAAGAAAGGCTGAGTGGCTTTTCCATATCTGAGGCATATGCAACTGCTTTCACAGCAGGTTTTGTTTGTACAATAGCAACACTTGAACTTGAAGAGGATGGGGAGCCTAGACCAGATAAGGAGGTTTTAACAATTTCTTTCTTGTTTGTCCTCACAGTATTTTGTCTGTCTCGAAGCTTTTTAAAATTGTGTAAACGTTGTCGAAGAATTTTTAATCTTTGGAAAAGCGCTTGGGTTCTTAACTTAACTGGGATACGATTAATATTCAGTTTCAATTCTGGAGAAATTCTAGTATCGACAGCTACATCATTTCCGTTTGCCGTAGGGATAACTTGTACGTCACTTTCTACTTTTGTTGTAACGGGAGGTTGAGGCTGTATTTTTTGCACCTTTGCTACTGGTTGAATTTGCTTTGGAGGAGGTGTTATTTTTGTTACTTTCACAACAGGTGGTTGATACACCACTGGTATTTTTTGTTTGGGAGGTTCTTTTGGTTCGGGTGCTTTCACGACCTCTGGTTTCTTTGGTGCTTTTTTAATTGACACTAAATGACCATCAGTAATAGATGGAATGTTTTTCTCTTTGTTCTTTTCGACTTTAACTGTTGTAGTTGCTTTAGTTGTTGTGGGTATTTCCTTGGCTTTAGTTTTGCTGATTTTGCTTTTCTTTCCGACTACGTCCTTCATTATGTCACGTATAACCGTCATAGTTATAGCTTTGTTTGACTTTTTATGCTTGCGTAGTCGACTCACGAGCTTCACAAGCTGGCTTCTGGACAAAGGTAGCCTCCGTAACTTTCTGAGAACTTTTTGGAGAGCTAAGCGGCGTGAGTATTCTTTTCTTCGATCATCGTCGTCGTCATTATCGTCACTCTCATTGCTGTCAGCCTGTCGTCTGCTGGTGTCTCTCCTCTCGCGTCCGTACACGGAAACCTGTGAGAATCCTTCTTCACATGACGCTATCAACAAACCTGAAATATGAAACATAATGTATATCCTGACCTTTTTTCTTACATTTTGGTAATACATGTGCTATGAATACAGATATTTTCGAGGACTCCTATTCATTATTTTTGCGTTTTCTTGACACAATTAATTACCCTGGCTGTTAGCAATTTTTTTTCAAGGTTAAGATTTTCTGTCAAAAGTACAAGAAGTGAATGCCATATAGATCATCACATTATATGAATTTCTCACAATATGAGCAAAATGTTTTCAAATGGACATCTTTCTTCTTTATAAACAGTTTATAATGTGATATGAGACCATTAATCAAGAAAAACGAAATATCCTGGTGCCTGATTTACATGTACTTCCAAAGCAATTTTTCATATTACAACTTTAAGATGTGAAATGAGTTTCTTTATCAATTATTTGACTGTTCTTTGTTTTTGATCATATGCAATTCTATATTTATGAATTCTAATATTAAAAGTGTTTATTGTTTATGTCAACCAACCCAGGCGCGAAATTCATTTAGCATACCAATTATCATAAAACATGACCTGATGGTAGCAAAATGAATTTCTTACTAATTGGTATTCGGTTTTAGTTAATTAAGTTGGATAGAACTTGTCACTATTTTAATTGATCGATTGTCAACATAATCCATTCTTTTATTCTTTTTCAAAAGAAACAATTTACAAAAAGTATAAAATTATAAATCATGGAGCTATAAATTGAAAAAAGAAAACTCCTCTTTTAAAGTGACATTTGTAGGTAATATTATTTTTTAATGAATTATTTGCGGTAAGAACTAACTTACATTATGTCAGGTGGTTTTTTTTGGGAGGAAAAATAGTTATGATAAACTTAAGACAGACGTGATATATTGGGAGGTTGAAATTCAAAACCTAATAAAAAATGTGTATCTTTGGATTAACGGTCAATGGTATACAACTGTACCTCTATATGTTGAACCTATTTCTGGCAACCTGTAATACATATGGTCATGAAAATAAGAATGTCCTGGCAAAAATCTCATTATTAATTTAATATGAAATAAATTTCGATAAGCAAATTCTATTTCACATTAGTGCAGTTCAAATCAATCAATCAACCAATCCGAAAATGATAAAATAATCTTGACAAACATCGCACTTAAGAAACTGTAGAAATATTTAAAAAATGACATATTGAGATTAGAAGTGGGGAAAATTCCCTATTGATGATTTTGATAGACAGAGACCGTCGAATGCAACAATTTAAAAACATAACAATGCTTTGAACAGAACCAGTTACCTGTAAACATTAATTCTCAGTCAGCTCACGTGCATTAGAACCTGAGGCTTACATTTTTAATTGATGTTCAATTTTATTTTAATTTAATTAATGATTCTATATCGAAAGCTTGGCATTTATTTGTGGTCTATAATAGAAAAGCTCTTTTCCTTGTATCCTATGATCAAATTCTAAACACGTCTTTGACGGAAACGATAAAAAATTCTGTTTGAAAGAGGCCTGACAAGAAATGTGACAATCTAATAATCATAATAATTATAGAATGACTGCACACCTTAAAACGCCTTTTGTGGCTTTTTACTCTAGGATTTCACACAAATGAGAGGCGTGTTATATGGGCATTTGGTTTCTTTAAACAATAGGGGGTTTAATTTTTAAGCCACAATTAAAAACATTACTCATATTAAAAAAAAAATCATTACATGTATATTTTTTAAGACGTGCATGGTTTTACGTGCTATTTTGAATGCATACACATGTACGTATATCATGTAATAGATTAAATGATATTATTTTGTTGTTTTATCATATATAATGTTTTCTGTGGCATATATTAATAATTCTAATTGATACATAACTATAAAGATCACCAACAGTGTTCGACTCATATGAACTCCTTATTTTGCTTTTCTCTTACTTTTGTTAATTAAACATTTCCTAGATAATTCAAAGTTAACTAATTAAGCTGCGTATGTCTATGGCACGCAAAATTCACAAAAATGAGATAAACCTAGTTTCACATTTGATAAACTTGGTTTATCGACTGTAAACTATAGTTTACAAACCGTAAACTATAGTTAACGATCCGTTAAGTATAGTTAACGATTCGTTAAGTATAGTTTTCATCTGTAAAACTATATTTAACGGTTGTTAACTATAGTTTACGAATGATATTAAGTTTATTGTCTGTAATAATCGTTAACAATAGATTTTGTTGAGAAACATATATATATTTAAACTATAGTTAAGAGTTGTTAATCATATTCACAAATCGTGAAACTATATTTATCAGATCGTTAACTATAGTTAACGGTTTGTAAACCATAGTTTACAAATCGTGAAACTGTATTTATCAGATAATCTATGTTTTGCAATCGCAAATGATAGTTTTCGGTGTTAAGTATAGTTTACGGTTGTGAAACATAGATTATCACGTTAACTATGGTTTACAGATGTAAAATATAGATTAACGTTGTTAACTATAGTTTACAGTCCGTAAACTATGGTTTACAACCGATAAACCTAGTTTATCGATTGTGAAACTATGATTATCTCATTTTTGTGAATTTGGCGTGCCATATATGTCATCTAGAGGGTTTAAATGTTAACGACTGTTCAGGCAAATACAACTATAAATAATATATTTTTTAAAAAAAACTTGTTTACAAAAATGGGCAACGTAGCGTTTTAACCTTACTTTTGTGGTAAAGCTTGAAAACAAACTTATAATAATGAAACTTATAATGAAATCATAGACGGGTCGCCGAAGAAACTTGCTATTGACATCGGCTTTTGAGAACAACGGGATTTGCTTTAGTACCACCTGGTTAATTCAAATAAAAAAAAAAGACGAGTTACGTACTTATCCTAGATATATAAGAGAAGTCCTTTCCGGAATTTAATATATAAACAATACAATTCGTTAGTATTGTTTTAACTTGTATGATAATAGCTAAATTCACCACGGAAAAAAAGAAACTTTTATTACATGTATATTTCATCATTTTAAAAAGGTTGTTTACCCTCGCCGAATTTTCTTTGGTTAAAAACAATTTGTAACAGAAAAGAATTCTAATAATTATAAAGTATCCTGATCGGTAGACACTTCTGATTAGATAAATAAAAAAGAAATGAAGTATTCATAGTCTGTAAGCAAATAATAATTGTATGAAATTGGATAAAATGACAAAGAAATAAAATATACAGATAATTGCCTAAAGTGCTTCATTCAAATCTTTGATAATTTTTTTCTTTAAATTATAAAAAGTTAAGTGAAATTAATAAATATATATATATATCTTTTAAAAACTAAAAAAAAAGTGTAGCTATTTATCACCAAAAAATACTTACATGAAAATAGGCATCCTAAAGAAAAGATTAAGGTAATCCGAAACTTCATATTGATAAGAGCGAAAGGAGGAGTGTGTCGAAATCCTAACGCTCACACCGCATACCTGTATATGTCGAAGAAAAGATCAAAATTACATTAATATTAATGACGACATTAATTAATCCCCGACTGTCAGAAATATGTTATATCATTAACATCGAGTGCACGAGGATCCTTCATTAGCATATTTCAATTATTTTAATGATCATATCTAATCGCTTTGTAATAAATGGCGGGTCCACATAAAAAAATTAGGAAAGCATGACATTTCACGACAAAGTAAAACAGAATGAACCTTTAAACCTGTAAATTAAGAGGACGATTTGTATATTCTGTTAATTTTATGCTTTTGAGATGGTTAAAAAATCATTAATTTTTTGCTCACCAAAAATTAAATCGAGCGTAAAAGAAGATAATTTCTTCCTGCAAATTTAGCTGCATTTCCTTCTACTGAAATGACGTAACAGGGTCTGTTATAATTTGAACTAATCATTAATGGACATTTATGACTATATATAAATGATCATATACAAAGACAAAATTATTAATGTCTATAGTGCTTTACAATTAGCTTCAACTCTCTCCTAAATTTAGTGTTTCTATATATTGTTATAATAATATTTATAGCTTCCTTGATAGGTTTTAAGTGAACAACAGTGATTTGTAACCTGCTATTGTCATAATTGTTGTTTTGTGCAGATGGTTTCATACAGATGGAGATACAGCGAACCTTTAAGCTCCGTCTGACAGGCCATTCACATTTACCTATACTATGTCCAACTAGAACAAGGAAATTATTTATTTTATTTAATATAAGTACACACAAGGAATTGTCGACGGATTTTTCCGATCAAGACAAGAAGCACACGGCAGCTGTGAACGGTCTACAGGGGATGCTCCCTCCTCCATGACACCTGATCCCACCCCTGATGTTTTGGAGGTCCGTATTTGCTTTGCTACAATTTTGTATTCTTATATGAATTTTGAGCTTTAATACTGTTCGTTATCTCCATATATTTCATTTTAATTATACAAATTACATGTATTGAGCACAGTAACTCGGATAAGAAGTATAACTATTGCACTCAAATAGAGATATTATTTAAAAATATATTTCTTCTTTTCACTCAATATTTTGTTATTTACAGCGATGAAGAAATTTGTTCTCATCTCCATCAATTTATTGTCTTATCCTTCTTGGAAAACATTTACACCTCAATTTTGTGAACAGGAAGTTTATAATGTATATCCTTAATCATCTTCAAAACGGATACTGATCATTCAGGTGCCATAGAGGAGTTTCATTTCATTCAAGCAATACTGCAACCTTTTGAAAGTAAACACAAGTACAAAATGTGACATATGGAGATATCTAACAGCATTCAAGCCCAAAAGTCCATTAAACAATACAAAATTGCATCAGAACAAACATGCTCCTCCAAAACATAAGAGGTGGGATCAGGTGCCATGAAGGAATAAGCATCCCTTGCCGACCGGTCATACCTGCCGTGAGCTCCTTGTCTAATAGGAAAATAACGGAAAATCCGTTGCCAATTCAGTGTGTAAATAATAGTGTAACAATTAATATGAAAAACATCAGTCAGCATTTTACAAAATGATAAAATGTATTTGCTGACGAGGTCATTGTATGGACCAGAAAACTTACGAAATGATGACTTTAACCGTACTGCTGATATTCTTGCTTCATCAACTTGTTTGTCAATAAATTACCTCGTTTTAGAAATTGTTCATACATAGAGCATGTTCTTGAGTATCGAAATAATTGAGAGATATGAACTCCGTATGCAGGTGATAAAGGTATATTGCTGCATAAGTAAGGGAAGTTGACAATTCAAAAGTTAAAGTCATTAGCATTACGTTTATCATAAAGCTTGGTTGTTAGATTACCATTTACGTCTTATTCAAGTAAGGTATCTAAATATGAAACAGAGGTGTCGGACTCTTGGTATCTTTTATTTCAAGATCACCGGGATATATCGTATCGACATCAGAATGAAAATAAGAATTGTTAATTAAATATATGTCGGCGATATATCTAAATGTCGAGTTGAAGGCAATAAAGTAAGTGTTTCCTACTTTTCACTTATAAGATTTTTTGGACAAATTGTGCTTCATCTGCATAAAAAAATAGGCATGTAAATAAATGGGCGCAATTGAGAAAAAAGATTCTCGGAAATGACGTTTTCATACAAATGGTTAGGCCTTTGTTTACACACTGCATGACACGGAGCCTAGGGCGGGTTTGTCTGATCGACAAGGATGCTTAATCCTCTATGGCACCTGAGCCAACCTGTTGCTTATAGAGATCTGTGTTTGTTCTGCTCCTCATTTGTATTGTTTCAATAGACTTTTGAACATAGGTACTGCTTGTTATCTTCATATCTCACTTTTTCATGGAAGGATCGTCTCCAGGGGGTGGAGAAAAATACGTGTTGAGTTGTATTTAGCAAGTCAGCCGGGAGAGGACAAACAATTTTTATTAATAAAGTTGACCTGATGTATCTAAATGCTGAATTGAAAGTCACATCGAATTTTTTTTTCTCTGATGTTGAAATTTTGTCTTCTTCTCTTAAAGATAGATTCTGCTAAGTAAAAATAAATGTATAAAATAAAAACTAGAAGGATAATAAAAGAGACAATTAAATGTGCCAAAAAATGAACTAATAATAATTATGAAAACGAGATGTGTTTGTAATACACTGATGTCCCCGTATGACCGCTTATGGCGAGGGTTGTAATTTCTTAAATGCAAATCCAAAGGTCATCTGCGGTATCTTTTTTCAAGCTCATTTGGATAAATTGAGTCTACATATGATATAGCTATTGTTAGTTCATAATACGTCATCGATATATCAAAGCATTGAGTTGAAGGCCACAACAAGTTTCCTCTGCTTCTCATGTAGAAGTTTTTGAATACGTGTAGAAATGTGAAAAAACTATTTTCCAAAGGTACTTCAGCTGACTGAAACAGCGTAGTTCAAAAACAGATTTACTCCTCGGCTAACCACTCACTGTTTTCTCTGGGTGTAACTCTAAATATAAAGATTTAATGCTTTTATTATCATTCCTTAACTGTTTTCCTCATAAAATCTTTATTGATTACGCGTATTTTTGTATCAATAAAACACAAATGTGCGTGACAATAAAAAAAAAAGATTTGTAGAAAAAAATCTTTTTAAAGATGATAGATGATAGAGAATGTAAATATAAGATTTAAATGGTAGTTTTACACATTTTTGTCATAAATCAGATATGAATATTATTAGTTATCCAGATTCAATCAAGGGTGTACGGGGATTTACTCTGGGTTTTATCTCATACACCCTGAGGCCGAATTTATTTCCTATGTACCCATAAAAATACTTATTTGTAAACATAAGAGTCTAATCAACTGTGTTTCAATCTACTGAAAAGATAACTACGTACTACAATGCATCGGCCTCATGGTGGATGGAATAAAACCGGGGTAAATCCCCGTACACCCTTGATTGAACCTGGATAACTAATAATATTCAGATCTGATTATGACAAAAATTTGTACTTGTATTTGTAAATGGTACTCCATTTTTGTGCGCTCTTTGTGATCTTTGGCATTGTAAAACCATGCTTTTTATTAAAAAAAAATATTCAACTAAATAAGGTACTGCGAATACTATAAAAAGAAATATGAAATACTGGGGGTACATGTATAATGCAAAGACATTGAAAGTATGGTATTTCTTTAGTCCTCACTAAGATAATAACAGTAGGAAGGAGAAACTTCAAGAGTACTTACTATGCAACAATATACTGTATTCAAGAAGTGGTGTAAATCAGATGTGGATACTTAAAAATTTCAAGGAACTTTTAGACAATTTGAAATCACAAGATTTCACCATAATCAGTAGCTTAAAACTTACGACTTTTCAACTTTACATACAATCATTCCCCACGATAAGATAAGTCCAGGCCTTTTGATATCATTGACAGCAGCTTTTTCAATAAAAATAGAACTCGTAAATTTACTTACCTTGCCATTGGTTATTTGCAAAATTATTTTGTTAAAAATCATTCTGATTATACACACAAGTAGTCCGAAGGTGACATAAAAAGATGCTTGAGTTTCTGATTGACAATATCTATGTGGGTTTTGGAGACCAGGTCTTCCAAAAATATATTGAAATTTCCCTAACCCTAAGATTTTTAAGATATAAAAACAATGTGAAGATGGATAAGAATAAAATAGAATAAAATGTATAAAGATTATGACCAGTATTTGAGCTCAAAAGTCAGTTAAACAATACACATTTTTATATCATTTTAATTATATTCACATACATTTGTTTCATATTGTGGTATTTTTCTTTAAAAATACGTTTATGGTAGTCCAATAAAAAAGCTTTATGTTAAAAGTGATGACTTTCACTTTTCATTCGTCAACTTTTGCAGCAATATACCTTTATCACCTGCATACGGGGTTTATATCTCTATTATTTTGATTCGAAATGCTCTACGTATGAACGATTTCTAAAACTATGTAATACGAGGGTTGTTCGAAAAGTTCGTGGACGGTGTAATTTTCTCCGAAGATTTGTTGCAATTCGAAAAATTTTGTATATTACATTAAATGATAATATATTTTGAAATAATATGCAAAATTTCAGTCAGTTTTACTTACATTTATCAAAGTTATACCAATTTTTATGATACGTTGTCAATGCCCGCGGAGCAACTGTGGCGTAATTTTTCTGACGTCGTTACGTCGCTATGTTTTATGAATAATCTTCCATCTTCTTAGAAACTCTTTCGATGCTACGATCCGCCGATTTTTTCGTCCGTAGAAAGTAATTTCGGCATCAAACGAGTACAAACCTTTTCAAATCCAAGATATTTTGTGATTATTTCATACGCATAGACGTACTTATTTCAAATTTATTCGATTTATCTCTTACTACTAATCTTCTATCTTTGTCAAGATCTTGTAACATTGACGCCGTCAAGTCAGAATCAATAGGTGGAGGTCTTTCTGACTTTTCGTCAAGTTTAATCACATCGACCTTCTTTAA